GTATTGTGGTCTGTAGACTGTGATAACAATGTTACCTGTAGTGTAGACTGTGATAACAATGTTACCTGTATTGTGGTCTGTAGACTGTGATAACAATGTTACCTGTATTGTGGACTGTAGACAGGGATAACAATGTTACCTGTATTGTAGACTATGATAACAATGTTACCTGTATTGTGGTCTGTAGACTGGGATAACAATGTTACCTGTATTGTGGTCTGTAGACAGGGATAACAATGTTACCTGTATTGTGGTCTGTTGACAGGGATAACAATGTTACCTGTATTGTGGTCTGTTGACTGGGATAACAATGTTACCTGTATTGTGGTCTGTAGACAGGGATAACAATGTTACCTGTATTGTAGACTGTGATAACAATGTTACCTGTATTGTGGTGTGTTGACTGGGATAACAATGTTACCTGTATTGTTGTCTGTAGACTGTGATAACAATGTTACCTGTATTGTGGTCTGTAGACTTTGATAACAATGTTATCTGTATTGTGGCCTGTAGACTGTGATAACAATGTTACCTGTATTGTGGTGTGTTGACTGGGATAACAATGTTACCTGTATTGTGGTCTGTAGACTGGGATAACAATGTTACCTGTATTGTGGTGTGTTGACTGGGATAACAATGTTACCTGTATTGTTGTCTGTAGACTGTGATAACAATGTTACCTGTATTGTGGTCTGTAGACTGGGATAACAATTTTACCTGTATTGTGGTCTGTAGACTGGGATAACAATGTTACCTGTATTGTGGTCTGTAGACTGGGATAACAATGTTACCTGTATTGTGGTCTGTAGACTGTGATAACAATGTTACCTGTATTTGTGGCCTGTAGACAGGGATAACAATGTTACCTGTATTGTGGTGTGTTGACTGTAATAACAATGTTACCTGTATTGTGGTGTGTTGACTGTGATAACAATGTTACCTGTATTGTGGTCTGTAGACTGTGATAACAATGTTACCTGTATTGTGGTCTGTAGACTGTGATAACAATGTTACCTGTATTGTGGTCTGTAGACTGTGATAACAATGTTACCTGTATTGTGGTCTGTAGACTGTGATAACAATGTTACCTGTATTGTGGTCTGTAGACTGTGATAACAATGTTACCTGTATTGTGGTCTGTAGACTGTGATAACAATGTTACCGGTATTGTGGTCTGTAGACTGTGATAACAATGTTACCGGTATTGTGGTCTGTAGACTGTGATAACAATGTTACCTGTATTGTGGTCTGTAGACTGTGATAACAAGGTTACCTGTATTGTGGTCTGTAGACTAGGATAACAATGTTACCTGTGTTGTGGTCAGTAGACTGTGATAACAATGTTACCTGTATTGTGGTCTGTAGACTGGGATAACAATGTTACCTGTATTGTGGTCTGTAGACTGGGATAACAATGTTATTATAACATTATCAACACATTACAACTATTGATGGTATTTTTCCAGTATTTTACTTTGGTTAACGATGTACCGGATACCAACAAAGTTATAACACAAACTTGTGTTGATGAGTACTGTCGGTGGTAGGATCTATATGAAGTAATTAGGTTACCTTTGTCCCCTTTGTCACCTTTATTCCCGACATCACCTGAAACCGTGAAAGACATTATTGACAGGAATATTTACAAACTGTTATATATCATTTAAATATCAATGTTCATGAACGTGTTACATAATCTGTCTGAACACACCACAATTTCTCTCTGCAAATAATCTTTCTGAACACATCGCCATTTTCTTTTTGCACATAAATTATCTAAACACATCACCATTTTCTATTTGCAGATAAATTATCTAAACACATTACCATTACTTCCATGCAGATGATCTACTCACCAGAGAGGCAGATTTTTACGTCTCCTGAACATTTCTGTATGAGCTGCTGTTCCTAAAAAACAGGAACATCAACAATCAAAGCAACATCCCAAAAACACGATCCGACCAGACATTAACAAAATGTAACAATAAAAATAAACATTATATTCTACGTTATCAGAAAGAGGACTAGTGATCCCGGGTTTGTCTTCAATATCACAGACAATCCCGAGATAGGTCGATTACAAACATTGTCTCAAAGAAAGTTAAGACAGTGATATCGAAAATACAAACTTATCATCGAAAAGTATTTACATTAACTTATTTTCTGAATATATTTAACATTCACAAGCTTATTATTCCTACTTATTTAACATTTACAAGCTGATCATCTCAACTTATTTAACATTTACAAACTTATTACTCCAACTTATTTAACATTTACACGCTTATTACTCCAACTTATTTAACATTTACAAGCTGATCATCTCAACTTATTTAACATTTACAAACTTATTACTCCAACTTATTTAACATTTACAAGCTGATCATCTCAACTTATTTTAACATTTACAAGCTTATTATTTCAACTTATTTAACATTTACAAACTTATTACTCCAACTTATTTAACATTTAAAAGCTTATCTCAACTTATTTAACATTTACAAGCTTATCATCTCAACTTATTTAACATTCACAAGCTTATTACTCCAACTTATTTAATATTTACAAGCTTATCATCTCAACTTATTTAACATTTACAAGGTTATTATTCCAACTTATTTAACATTTAAAGCTGATCATCTCAACTTATTTTAACATTTACAAGCTTATTATTCCAACTTATTCAACATTTACAAGCTTATTACTCCAACTTATTTAACATTTACAAGCTTATTACTCCAACTTATTTAATATTTACAAGCTTATCATCTCAACTTATTTAACATTTACAAGGTTATTATTCCAACTTATTTAACATTTAAAGCTGATCATCTCAACTTATTTTACATTTACAAGCTTATTATTCCAACTTATTCAACATTTACAAGCTTATTACTCAACTTATTCAACATTTACAAGCTGATCATCTCAACTTATTTAACATTTACAAGCTTATTACTCCAACTTATTCGACATTTACAAGCTTATTACTCCAACTTATTCGACATTTACAAGGTTATTACTCCAACTTATTCGACATTTACAAGCTTATTACTCCAACTTATTCGACATTTACAAGCTTATTACTCCAACTTATTCGACATTTACAAGCTTATTACTCCAACTTATTCGACATTTACAAGCTTATTACTCCAACTTATTCGACATTTACAAGCTTTGCCTATAGTCTGTATATATGCGACATTCTGTCCTCTCAGAATCCTTATCAAAAGTTTTGTTTATAAAAGACTATATTTTGTCCCCTCAAAATCCTTAACTGCCTTTTTGTCCGTAGTAGGCAACCTTTTCTACTACCAGAAACCTAACTTATCTTTATTGATAGCAGGCAATAGTTTTAGACTACTGCCGTATATGTGACACTAACGATATCTGCGATTGTAAAAGTTGCAAATTTTTACACATCAAATCCTCTTTTACAATGAAAAGAATAGGTTTAATTGGCCCTTTACTTGAGCTTGTAAAACGCTTGACATCAGTGATGACACAGAAGAGGTTTGCCGCGAGTTCACACGTCTCCATGTCACCTGGAAATCAGCGTTTGTCTTTGCTATGTGGTCGAGTGAACGTTTGAATTTACCCTGAAATGTAAAAGAAATACAACTATGTATAAGGTTGGTCGAGCGAACGCTTGAATTTACCCTGAAATGTAAAAGAAACAACCATGTATAAGGTAGGTCGAGCGAACGCTTGAATTTACACTGGATTTTAAGAGAAGTACGTCAATATATGACGTTGCGTAATGGCGGCACTACGGTTGATTTTGAGTCAGTCAAGCTACACAGATTGTGGTATTTTTACAGTACACGATGTTCTCTCATACAATCCTTTATCAGATGGAAGCGATAGTAATTTGTGATATCTAATGACAACTTAAAACACGGAAACATTTCAATAAATAGATTACTGGTGACACAGACCATAATATTGTATATCTAGCCTTAAGCTGTACCAGTAATGGTTCCCGTGACCGTCATGTCTCTATAACCACTATCGGAATAGGCCTCAGTGTTCAGGATACCAAGAATATTCACATGAAAGTAAAGCGTTACGAAATTAACCCAAGTCAATTGATAACTTTTCAGATTTTTGATTGATTGAGTTGAACCCGGTTTTTGTTTGTCTGACTAGAGACGTATATAACTCGTTCTCGTTGAATCTCGTTCCCACGCGAGATTTCGGAATACCGTAGTATCGTATTGAAGGAGTTTCCAATCTCTGTGTTATATATATCTCTGGTCTGACGTTGAATCTATTACTTATATCTCTAACCCTCACATACATTCTGACATCTCCCAAATACACATCAATATCTGTACTCATTGACACCGTCCATTCTAAAATGTTTTGTACTTTTCAACCATGTTGTTCTCCACCCATCGTCCTAGTTTAGTGTCGATGATGCGACATCTTAACTTTTTATAGTTTATTGTTTCCCTCACTTTTCAGCAGTGATTATGTTTTGACTGGATCACTTCCATTACTCCCAAACACTCTGGACTGGGTGAGATTTCCATGCTGAAATCTCGCTTTCAAATACGTGGAAGCCAAGATGACGTTGATAATAAGGATTTCTTAAATTGCCCAACCTGACTGAGGTAAGAGGTGTGAGATCGTGTACACATACCAGGGACTGTTGATCAGGACTTCCACACGACCCGGTCAGGTGATCGATGTCTGCTCGCCGCACAGACAACGTCTTCTCCAAATCATACACATGACGAAATTGCAGAATCGTGACGGATACAAACGCTGACAAGTGGAGCGTGACGAAGAGAAGGGCGAGGATGGAGGGAATTTTAGCGGCGATTTGATTCTCGTTGACCATGGCGTTTACTGACTAGAGCTTATCAATAGGGAACTGACATAGTCTGCCACATTAGAACTGTTATCTGCAGAACATTCTATTTATAGCAGACAATTATGTCAAGGTTCAATGATGAATTCTAGTATTTTACAATAATATCATAGTTTTATTTGTACTATGATCCCCGTGTAAAAGTATGTTTAGCGGGGTGAGTGTTGTTGTGATTGGCGGGGTTATTATTGTTGTGTTTGGCGGGTTGAGTGTTGTTGTGTTTGGCGGGTTGAGTGTTGTTGTGTTTGGCGGGTTGAGTGTTGTTGTGTTTGGCGGAGTAAGTGTTGTTGTGTTTGGCGTGGTTGGTGTTGTTGTGTTTAGCGGGGTAAGTGTTGCTGTATTTGGCGGGGTTAGTGTTGTTGTGTTTGTCGGGGTGAGTGTTGTTGTGTTTGGCGGGGTTAGTGTTGTTGTGTTTGGCGGGGTTAGTGTTGTTGTATTTGGCGGGGTGAGTGTTGTTGTGTTTGGCGGGGTTAGTGTTGTTGTGTTTGGCGGGGTGTTGTTGTGTTTGGCGGGGTAGTGTTGTTGTGTTTGGCGGGGGAGTGTTGTTGTGTTTGGCGGGGTGAGTGTTGTTGTGTTTGGCGGGGTTATTATTGTTGTGTTTGGCGGGGTGAGTGTTGTTGTGTTTGGCGGGGTTAGTGTTGTTGTGTTTGTCGGGGTGAGTGTTGTTGTGTTTGGCGGGGTTAGTGTTGTTGTGTTTGGCGGGGTTATTATTGTTGTGTTTGGCGGGGTGAGTGTTGTTGTGTTTGGCGGGTTTAGTTTTGTTGTGTTTGGCGGGGTTATTATTGTTGTGTTTGGCGGGGTGAGTGTTGTTGTGTTTGGCGGGGTTATTATTGTTGTGTTTGGCGGGGTGAGTGTTGTTGTGTTTGGCGGGGTTATTATTGTTGTGTTTGGCGGGGTGAGTGTTGTTGTGTTTGGCGGGGTTAGTGTTGTTGTGTTTGTCGGGGTGAGTGTTGTTGTGTTTGGTGGGGTTATTGTTGTTGTGTTTGGCGGGGTGAGTGTTGTTGTGTTTGGCGGGGTTAGTGTTGTTGTGTTTGGCGGGGGAGTGTTGTTGTGTTTGGCGGGGGAGTGTTGTTGTGTTTGGCGGGGTGAGTGTTGTTGTGTTTGGCGGGGTGAGTGTTGTTGTGTTTGGCGGGGTTATTATTGTTGTGTGTGGCGGGGTGAGTGTTGTTGTGTTTGGCGGGGTTAGTGTTGTTGTGTTTGTCGGGGTGAGTGTTGTTGTGTTTGGCGGGGTTATTGTTGTTGTGTTTGGCGGGGTAAGTGTTGCTGTATTTGGCGGGGTTAGTGTTGTTGTGTTTGGCGGGGTTATTATTGTTGTGTTTGGCGGGGTAAGTGTTGTTGTGTTTGGCGGGGTTTGTGTTGTAGTGTTTGGCGGGGTTAGTGTTGTTGTGTTTGGCGTGTTTTGCTATACATATTTTGTATGTTGATTCTAACTCATCGAACTATTCATGATTCTATAAAAATAATGTTTCCATGCCTGGGAAACATTCTGGTAAAAACATAACTTTCCAAGTTCATCAATTGTATAAATAGTATAATTACATTAACCAAGTATAAAGTATTTTAATTACACATCTTATTGAACCCTCGCACCAGTTGTTCCGAGCTATGATAAGAATGATAACGTTGTGATGTCTAGGTGAACTAATGATAAGAAGTAAGATGGCGGACTACAAGACCTCCCCATGGTTCTCCACTCTTTTTCTTCTAACTTGTGTACATACTTTCTCGTTTATAACGGTAACCATTGTCCAGTTCAGCAATCTTAACCAGATCGACGGTCTTGATACGGCATTGAAAAATGGACTCCAGGTACTTAATTCTTGTCTCCAGCATGAATCGGTTTGATGCCAATGCCTGGTTCCATGGTAATTCTAGCCTTTCAGGTTAAGAGTGAAACTTCTGCTGTACTCTAGTCTATCGTGGTGTCAGGGTCACGGTAATGTTTGATATCAAATGTTGTTTATACAATATCGTACTCATATTTGACATGGTGTCACGGTCACGGTAATGTTTGACATTAAATGTTGTTTTCACTATATTGTACTCGTGTTTGACATGGTATCACGGTCACGGGAATGTTTGACATCAAATGTTGTTTATATTAAGCCGTACTCGTGTTTTTTATGGTATCATGGTCTAGGAAATGTTTGACATCAAATGTTGTTTATATTAAGCCGTACTCGTGTTTTTTTATGGTATCATGGTCTAGGAAATGTTTGACATCAAATGTTGTTTATATAATGTCGCACTCGTGTTGTACATGGTATTACGGTCACGGTAATGTTTGACATCAAATGTTGTTTATGCTAAGCTACTCGTGTCATATTGTAGGAGATACTTTTAGAGAAGTTGTGTTTTCAGAACTTGTACAGTCGCTTCGACGAGGATCCTAACATAAACAGCAGAGTGAAAAGAGCTTCAACTTTTATCTCAGACCTTCTTTCCGCACAGGTTTGTTCTTATTGATTACAAATCGCTCTACATTTGAAGACAAAATTGAAAATTTCGAAAATTTCATTTGTTTATGATCCATTCAATTATACAGACAATAAAATGCTCTCTGATTCAGTTTGCATTTGATGTAATCACCAATTTTGATTGGGAATTTTGATGAGTCCCGTTAATGATGGTGTTCAGTTGATATGACATCTTCGTTTTAACACAAAATGTTAATTGTTAAGTTTCTTTACAGGCCCAGGTTCTGGAGCAACATTGTCTGGATCATAATAAGACTTGTCCTAATGGTAAGTTAACAAGGAAACACAAAATCGGGAGATTTCAAATACTATTTTTCATATACGCTTCGCTGAATGTTTATATCTATTTGTTTGTATTTTGTTGTATAAAAAAAACAATATATATGTGATAATCAGAACTAAATATAGAGACAGGAAACGGGTCAAATAAGGTGTATTAGATACCCCCAGCACGGGGTGATACGTATCATTAAATCCAGCGGGACACACAGTACTCGGACACAGCACTGACACACATCACTGGCCCACAGCTCTGACACACAGTTCTCGGACACAGCACTGACACACAGTACTCGGACACAGCACTGACACACATCACTGGCCCACAGCTCTGACACACAGTTCTCGGACACAGCACTGACACACAGTACTCGGACACAGCACTGACACACATCACTGGCCCACAGCTCTGACACACAGTTCTCGGACACAGCACTGACACACAGTACTCGGACACAGCACTGACACACAGTACTCGGACACAGCACTGACACACAGTACTCGGACGGACACAGCACTGACACACAGCTCTGACACACAGTACTCCGACACAGCACTGACACACAGTACTCGGACACAGCACTGACATACAGTACTCGGACACAGTACTGACACACAGCTTTGACACACAGTACTCGTCAAAGCACTGACACACAGTACTCGGACACAGCACTGACACACAGTACTCGGACGGGCACAGATCTGACACACAGTACTCCGACACAGCACTGACACACATTACTCGGACACAGTACTGACACACAGCTATGACACACAGTACTCGGACAAAGCACTGACACACAGCTCTGACACACAGTACTCGGACACAGCACTGACACACAGTACTCGGACACAGCACTGACATACAGTACTCGGACACAGTACTGACACACAGCTTTGACACACAGTAGTCGGACAAAGCACTGACACACGGTACTCGGACACAGCACCGACTTACAGTACTCGGACATACACAGCACTGACATACAGCTCTGACACACAGTGCTCGGACACAGCACTGACACACAGTACTCGGACACAGTACTGACACACAGCATTGACACACAGTACTCGGACAAAGCACTGACACACAGTACTCGGACACAGCACTGACACACAGCTCTGACACACAGTACTCGGTCACAGCACTGACATACAGTACTCGGACACAGCACTGACACACAGCTCTGACACACAGTACTCGGTCACAGCACTGACACACAGTACTCGGACACAGCACTGACACACAGCTCTGACACACACAGCTCTGACACACAGTACTCGGACACAGCACTGACACACAGCTCTGACACACAGTACTCGGACACAGCACTGACACACAGCTCTGACACACAGTACTCGGTCACAGCACTGACATACAGCTCTGACACGTTATACTCATGCTGCACTCGGAATGGACGAGTCAACCATTAAAATTCTGAATTCATATCGTTCCCTGCTAATTCTTTGGGTATTTCTGTACACGTGTCTTTGTGTCACTTTCAGTATAACTATACATCACTGAGGAATGTCACATGATCAACCATCCGTTTTATCTGAATTAACAGTAGATATAACCAGACCTTTCATACAATGTCACTCTCCTTGTGACCGTCACGTGTGGCAGTAACAGTCTACATGTATGTAAGCGAGATGATGGTAACACAGTACTGCTGTCAGATGAAAAGAAGATTAGGAGAATGTGACATCAAACCACGTTGTCATCTTCTTTACCAAAGTCAGAAATAGCATTAAAAAATTCAAACATTACCCCTCACTCCTACCGACAGAATTTGAAATTGTGAAAATTTCCAAACGGGGATAAATTGATTTTGAACTGATGGATTTTTGACAACGGAGAAAAACTAAGTAACGTTTTATGAAACAGAAATCAAAGGTGAAAATCAGGAACTGTTAGGCTATTAAGTGATATCACATAGCTAATATAATTTGTTTATTACCATTAGGTGCCCCTGGTAGCCGAGGTGTGGAAGGTCCACAAGGTAAATGTATTAATTTCATTTCTAAAATTACATTAACAACGAATCTGGAGTACACATGTCTGATTTCTGGCTCAACCAATCATTTTTCCTTCAGACATCCGGGCTACATATGTTTATCCAGCTAAATAATGTCATACAGCTTATTCTATACCACAACGTATTGCTATAGAACCTATTATTACTATATCTAATGCTAAATTTGTTTGGAAAAGTGCGTTTTCACTTGTCAGACCTTTTGTATAAGCCTTGGATGTGTAGAAAGTACAAATTCAACGGATACGATATCATTTATTAAGATTATAGAGTGGCTATAATAAAAATGTTCCAATGTTTGTGTTATCATGTTCAGGTATGCGAACATAAGGTGCATTTAAGTAAACACACGTTTGGGGGGGGGGGGGGTAAGGAGTCAGACATGTAATTAGTTATTTTGTTGGTTATTGTCGGTCTACGGTTAGTCCCACTATACAGGTAGGCTCTGTTGATTTACGTAGACAATGATCAACTAATCAAACGACTGTTTTAATTCATCGAGAGTGTTGATCTATACCGCGACAAAAGCATAAATCATGTTAGGTTTGGTATATCGTTTATCACAGGTAAATATTTATCAACTGAACAAGTGTTTGATCATGTATTAAGTTTTACGTAAAATCCTTGATATGTCTCAAAGTGAGGCATATAATTACACTGGTCAAAGAGAAAATTATAATACATATAGCTTAGCTGATCATAAAATCCAGGGGACCAGGGACCAAAAGGAGACCGCGGTCCACCAGGACCAGTGGGACAGTCGGGCAAGGCAGGGCCCAAAGGAGATCCAGGTTCCCTTGGGGCAAAGGGCATGAAGGGAGACCCAGGATTACAAGGTGACAACGGACCACGAGGACTACAGGGTGCTAAAGGTCAGAAAGGTCAACGCGGTGATAAAGGTCAAAGAGGAATTGAAGGAAGTAGTGTGAGTTGACAACCTAGTTAATATCTTATCCAGCGTGATAACCTAGTTAATATCTTATCCAGCGTCATAACCAAGTTAACATCTTATTGAGGTGATAACCTAGTTAATATTTTACTGGGGTGATAACCTAGTTAACATCTTTCTAAGGTGATAACCAAGTTAACATCTTTCTGGGGTGATAACCTAGTTAACATCTTACTGGGGTGATAACCTAGTTAATATTTTACTGGGGTGATAACCTAGTTAACATCTTACTGGGATGATAACCTAGTTAATATCTTATCCAGCGTGATAACAAAGTATCAAGATTATATATATATGTTAGATAAGACTTACATTAGGGATTACTGTGTAGGGACCGAAAGGAAGTGCAGGTCTACCCGGGTCAAAGGGCAACTATGGTGATACTGGTGACACTGGATCAAAGGGCAGTAAAGGAACCATTGGATTGCAGGGCCCTGCTGGTACCAAAGGGGCGCCTGGGGTACAAGGTTCTGCCGGAACTGACACGCGGATGTTGTCGGATGGCTGTTCCTGTATACGTAAGCTTTGATTTGTATTTTTATTGCAGAAGTTGTAACTTATGAATATCCGAATAGTTTAATTTTAACAATTTTGCATTTTCGTATCAGTGTCTATTTCAATACACCGTTTATATAACATGTTCTGCTTTCTTCATTTTTTCTATGTTTATTTCTTTTGACAAATACGTGTTATAAAAGTTTCATCAACCTTTTTTTTTTAAATTTTTGCAGGTAAAATTCCACCAACCGTTCCCTCGGTATAACACAGGTTTTTCACAAGCACATGATGTCAACTCATATCTTCAATATTGCATGTTGAAAAGTGAGCACTATGTTAAATAAACTTTACCTTGTTCGTTATGTTGTATTGTATTGATGGCGGTGATATCGTTCGAGCTCTCAGGAAACCAGATACAAACCTGTAATACTACAACGGCTCAGTAAAACGCGTTTCCGGCAGGAATGACACATGCCGAGTTTGTCCAGATCTAGATACTACCGATGAATTGATCTTCAGAATATTTCATACTGGTATCAGTATACTGTTTTGTCTTATTTTCGTAAGTCCAGTTACTATCATAACACGTTTTGTTACAATCATTCAGACATCTTTGAAATCTGTAAATTTTAGCCAGAAATTCAGTACTTATATAGTAGGTTATTACTTGTTTGTACTTTAAGACAACGTGTTCCTACGTCACTGATGACCTAGATAATACCGCTCAATTTGTCTTTAAGACAACGTGTTCCTTCTGTCACTGATGACCTAGATAATACCGCTCATTCAGTCTTTAAGACAACGTGTTCCTGTGTCACTGATGACCTACATAATACCGCTCATTCAGTCTTTAAGACAACGTGTTCCTACGTCACTGATGACCTAGATAATACCGCTCATTCAGTCTTTAAGACAACGTGTTCCTACGTCACTGATGACCTAGATAATACCGCTCAATTTGTCTTTAAGACAACGTGTTCCTTCTGTCACTGATGACCTAGATAATACCGCTCATTCTGTCTTTAAGACAACGTGTTCCTACGTCACTGATGACCTAGATAATACCGCTCATTCAGTCTTTAAGACAACGTGTTCCTACGTCACTGATGACCTAGATAATACCGCTCATTTTGTCTTTAAGACAACGTGTTCCTTCTGTCACTGATGACCTAGATAATACCGCTCATTCCTGTGTCACATAGCGGTCGATAAATTAATTACGTGAGGACGATACAATAAGTCACTTCACAAAGCGGTCGATCCGTTAATCACGGGTGGACGTTACAATAAGTTACCTTACAAAGCGGTCGATCCGTTAATCACGGGTGGTCGTTACAATAAGTCACCTCACAAAGCGGTCGGTCCGTTAATCACGGGTGGACGTTACAATAAGTCACCTCACAAAGCGGTCGATAAATTTATTACGTGTGGACGATACGATAAGTCACCTCACAAAGCGATCGATCCTTTAATCACGAGTGGACGTTACAATAAGTCACCTCACAAAGCGGTCGATCCTTTACTCACGAGTGGCCGTTACAATAAGTCACCTCACAAAGCGGTCGATCCGTTAATCACGGGTGGATGTCACAATAAGGCATCTCACAAAGCGGTCGATCCTTTAATCACGGTTGGACGTTACAATAAGTCACTTCACAAAGTGGTCGATCCTTTAATCACGGGTGGACGTTACAATAAGTTACCTTACAAAGCGGTCGATCCGTTAATCACGGGTGGACGTTACAATAAGTCACCTCACAAAGCGGTCGATCCGTTAATCACGGGTGGACGTTACAATAAGTCACCTCACAAAGCAGTCGATCCGTTAATCACGGGTGGACGTTACAATAAATCACCTCACAAAGCGGTCGATAAATTGATTACGTGTGGATGATACGATGTCACCTCACAGTGGTCGATCCTTTAATCACGGGTGGACGTTACAATAAGTCACCTCACAAAGCGGTCGATCCGTTAATCACGGGTGGACGTTACAATAAGTCACCTCACAAAGCGGTCGATAAATTTATTACGCGTGGACGATACGATAAGTCACCTCACAAAGCGATCGATCCTTTAATCACGAGTGGACGTTACAATAAGTCACCTCACAAAGCGGTCGATCCTTTACTCACGAGTGGCCGTTACAATAAGTCACCTCACAAAGCGGTCGATCCGTTAATCACGGGTGGATGTCACAATAAGGCATCTCACAAAGCGGTCGATCCTTTAATCACGGGTGGACGTTACAATAAGTCACCTCACAAAGCGATCGATCCGTTAATCACGGGTGGACGTTACAATAAGTCACCTCACAAAGCGGTCGATAAATCTATTACGTGTGGACGATACGATAAGTCACCTCACAAAGTGATCGATTCTTTAATCACGGGTGGACGTTACAATAAGTCACCTCACAAAGCGGTCGATCCGTCAACCACGGGTAGACGTTACAATAAGTCACCTTACAAAACGGTCGATCCTTTAATCACGGGTGGACGTTACAATAAGTCACCTCACAAAGCAGTCGATCCGTTAATCACGGGTGGACGTTACAATAAGTCACCTCACAAAGCGGTCGATAAATTTATTATGTTATTACGTGTGGACGATACGATAAGTTACCTTACAAAGCGGTCGATCCGTTAATCACGGGTGGACGTTACAATAAGTCACCTCACAAAGCGGTCGATAAATTTATTACGTGTGGACGATACGATAAGTCACCTCACAAAGCGGTCGATCCGTTAATCACAGGTGGATGTCACAATAAGGCATTTCACAAAGCGGTCGATCCTTTAATCACGGGTGGACGTTACAATAAGTCACCTCACAAAGCGGTCGATCCGTTAATCACGGGTGGACGTTACAATAAGTCACCTCACAAAGCGGTCGATCCTTTAATCACGGGTGGACGTTACAATAAGTCACCTCACAAAGCGGTCGATCCGTCAACCACGGGTGGACGTTACAATAAATCACCTCACAAAGCGGTCGATCCGTTAATCACGGGTGGACGTTACAATAAGTCACCTCACAAAGCGGTCGATCCGTTAATCACGGGTGGACGTTACAATAAGTCACCTCACAAAGCGGTCGTCTTCATGTCTCCATCGCAAAGATAATTATGAATTTGTAGTATCGTTTGGTCGCTTGGCATATATGATATACCAATGGAAAAAGGCCAGACATATTTAGTAAATAAAATCCGTTTTAATGAAGTGGATTTCAAGTTATGATTTTGTTTGATATACAAGTAAATCGAAACTGTATAAACAAAACGACAAATACCGATTATAACCGTCAAGCCTTCAAATCAGGATAAATTGTACCCTGATGTCGTCTTACTGATCTAAATTACAGTACCAAATGTAGGACGAATTTACAGCGCGCGATCACTTTAATTCTAAACATCTCTTTTCAATCGAGAGAAATAGAACATTCAATTTCAAATAATGTCAGTTTTCGATCAGTGATAAAAAAAACACGAGAAAAGCGACCGATATTTGTCGTTTACAATCTTAACTTACAACAATAAGAAACCACAAAGAGGTATTATTGCATATAGAACTGAACATTTCACATACATTTACTAATAAAAAAGATACATCAATATATAACATGTGTCCTCAATATAGAGAAAATTTATTGCCACACGTGTTTACTGTATATATATGATACATGAGTGTATGACACGTGTTTACTGTATTGATATGTTACATATATATATGATACGTGTTTACTGTATAGATATGGCACATTTATGTATGACACGTGTTTATTGTATAGATATGGAACACTTATGTATGACACGTGTTTACTGTATAGATATGGATCAATTATGTATGACACGTGTTTACTGTATAGATATGGATCAATTATGTATGACACGTGTTTATTGTATAGATATGGAACACTGATGTATGACACGTGTTTACTGTATAGATATGGAACACTTATGTATGACACGTGTTTACTGTATAGATATGGAACACTTATGTATGACACGTGTTTACTGTATAGATATGATACATTAGTGTATGGCACGTGTTTACTGTATATATATATGATACATGGGTGTATGACACGTGTTGACTGTACAGATATGGTAGAGGTTAAATGACACGTGTTTACTGTATAGATTTGGTACATGCATATGTGACCAGTAAAGACAGATATTCAACCATACTGAATAAGATTTATTATACTCTACATAAGTAATTAATATGAAAAGCTAGCTAGTCCTGATTAACATAATGATGAACATAATATATATAATACATACGAAACCAATTTATGTGTTTACTATCTGTAACTACTATTGTTGTGACTGTGTGTGTGTTTACTATTGTTGTGACTGTGTGTGTGTTTACTATCTGTAACTACTATTGTTGTGACTGTGTATGTGTTTACTATCTGTAACTACTATTGTTGTGACTGTGTGTGTGTTTACTATCTGTAACTACTATTGTTGTGACTGTGTGTGTGTTTACTATCTGTAACTACTATTGTTGTGACTGTGTGTGTGTTTACTATCTGTAACTACTATTGTTGTGACTGTGTGTGTTTACTACTATTGTTGTGACTGTGTGTGTTTACTACTATTGTTGTGACTGTGAATGTGTTTAATACTATTGTTGTGACTGTGTGTGTGTTTACTACTATTGTTGTGACTGTGTGTTTACTACTATTGTTGTGACTGTGTGTGTGTTTACTATCTGTAACTACTATTGTTGTGACTGTGTATGTGTTTACTACTATTGTTGTGACTGTGTGTGTGTTTATTATCTGTAACTACTATTGTTGTGACTGTGTGTGTGTTTACTATCTGTAACTACTATTGTTGTGACTGTGTATGTGTTTACTACTATTGTTGTGACTGTGTGTGTGTTTACTATCTGTAACTACTATTGTTGTGACTGTGTGTGTGTTTACTATCTGTAACTACTATTGTTGTGACTGTGTATGTGTTTACTACTATTGTTGTGACTGCGTGTGTGCTTACTATCTGTAACTACTATTGTTGTGACTGTGTGTGTGTTTACTATCTGTAACTACTATTGTTGTGATTGTGTGTGTGTTTACTATCTGTAACTACTATTGTTGTGACTGTGTGTGTGTGTTTACTACTATTGTTGTGACTGTGTGTGTGTTTACTACTATTGTTGTGACTGTGTGTGTGTTTACTACTATTGTTGTGACTGTGTGTGTGTTTACTACTATTGTTGTGACTGTGTATGTGTTTACTACTATTGTTGTGACTGTGTGTGTGTTTACTACTATTGTTGTGACTGTGTATGTGTTTACTACTATTGTTGTGACTGTGTGTGTGTTTACTACTATTGTTGTGACTGTGTGTGTGTTTACTACTATTGTTGTGACTGTGTGTGTGTTTACTACTATTGTTGTGACTGTGTATGTGTTTACTACTATTGTTGTGACTGTGTGTGTGTTTACTATCTGTAACTACTATTGTTGTGACTGTGTGTGTGTTTACTATCTGTAACTACTATTGTTGTGACTGTGTATGTGTTTACTACTATTGTTGTGACTGCGTGTGTGCTTACTATCTGTAACTACTATTGTTGTGACTGTGTGTGTGTTTACTATCTGTAACTACTATTGTTGTGATTGTGTGTGTGTTTACTATCTGTAACTACTATTGTTGTGACTGTGTGTGTGTGTTTACTACTATTGTTGTGACTGTGTGTGTGTTTACTACTATTGTTGTGACTGTGTGTGTGTTTACTACTATTGTTGTGACTGTGTGTGTGTTTACTACTATTGTTGTGACTGTGTATGTGTTTACTACTATTGTTGTGACTGTGTGTGTGTTTACTACTATTGTTGTGACTGTGTATGTGTTTACTACTATTGTTGTGACTGTGTGTGTGTTTACTACTATTGTTGTGACTGTGTATGTGTTTACTACTATTGTTGTGACTGTGTGTGTGTTTACTACTATTGTTGTGACTGTGTATGTGTTTACTACTATTGTTGTGACTGTGTGTGTGTTTACTACTATTGTTGTGACTGTGTGTGTGTTTACTACTATTGTTGTGACTGTGTATGTGTTTACTACTATTGTTGTGACTGTGAATGTGTTTACTACTATTGTTGTGACTGTGTGTGTGTTTACTATTGTTGTGACTGTGTGTGTTTACTACTATTGTTGTGACTGTGTATGTGTTTACTACTATTGTTGTGACTCTGTGTGTGTTTACTACTATTGTTGTGACTGTGTGTGTGTTTACTACTATTGTTGTGACTGTGTATGTGTTTACTACTATTGTTGTGACTGTGTGTGTTTACTACTATTGTTGTGACTGTGTATGTGTTTACTACTATTGTTGTGACTGTGTATATGTTTACTACTATTGTTGTGACTGTGTATGTGTTTACTACTATTGTTGTGACTGTGTGTGTTTACTGCTATTGTTGTGACTGTGTATGTGTTTACTACTATTGTTGTGACTGTGTATGTGTTTACTACTATTGTTGTGACTGTGTGTGTTTACTACTATTGTTGTGACTGTGTATGTATTTACTAATATTGTTGTGACTGTGTATGTGTTTACTACTATTGTTGTGACTCTGTGTGTGTTTACTATCTGTAACTACTATTGTTGTGACTGTGTGTGTGTTTACTATCTGTAACTACTATTGTTGTGACTGTGTATGTGTTTACTATCTGTAACTACTATTGTTGTGACTGTGTGTGTTTACTACTATTGTTGTGACTGTGTATGTGTTTACTACTATTGTTGTGACTGTGTATATGTTTACTACTATTGTTGTGACTGTGTGTGTTTACTACTATTGTTGTGACTGTGTATGTGTTTACTACTATTGTTGTGACTGTGTATATGTTTACTACTATTGTTGTGACTGTGTGTGTTTACTGCTATTGTTGTGACTGTGTATGTGTTTACTACTATTGTTGTGACTGTGTATGAGTTTACTACTATTGTTGTGACTGTGTGTGTTTACTACTATTGTTGTGACTGTGTATGTGTTTACTAATATTGTTGTGACTGTGTATGTGTTTACTACTATTGTTGTGACTCTGTGTGTGTTTACTATCTGTAACTACTATTGTTGTGACTGTGTGTGTGTTTACTATCTGTAACTACTATTGTTGTGACTGTGTATGTGTTTACTATCTGTAACTTCTATTGTTGTGACTGTGTATGTGTTTACTACTATTGTTGTGACTGTGTATGTGTTTACTACTATTGTTGTGACTGTGTGTGTGTTTACTACTATTGTTGTGACTGTGTGTGTGTTTACTTTCTGTAACTACTATTGTTGTGACTGTGTGTGTGTTTACTATCCGTAACTACTATTGTTGTGACTGTGTGTGTGTTTACTACTATTGTTGTGACTGTGTATGTGTTTACTTTCTGTAACTACTATTGTTGTGACTGTGTATGTGTTTACTACTATTGTTGTGACTGTGTATGTGTTTACTACTATTGTTGTGACTGTGTATGTGTTTACTATCTGTAACTACTATTGTTGTGACTCTGTATGTTTATGTAGCATTGCTATAATCTGTTTGAACGGAATTCTGAGATGTCCGAGATCTACGTTTTCGTCGTTTGTGGTACCCGGATGTTTTGTGACCTATTTTTAGATTGATGTTACAGACAGGCTTATAGCGCTCCTATATATAAATAAGTAAACTATTTCGTAAAACTGTCAGTATTTCCATTTCAGCATGTATTTGTTATAAGCCATCGATTTATATTTCTGTGTGTGATTGGGAACGATTATTTGTCACGTTGATAAAAGATTATGTTTAGGTTTTGGAAATACACCTGCTGAAACCTTTCGATCCAAACATTTGTGGAAACATTCAAATTACCTATAGGAATCCGGGAAAACCTTCAGAATTTCGTGTTGAAATATCGACAAAATAAAGTTCATCTTGTTTAGTGGTTTTCTTACCCACATAGAGGTAAAGTTCCAGAAAATTATCGATAACTCGATATAACATACTGTTATATAATTAACCAATGTGACTAAGTAGTACTGAACATTAATGTTATCTTAATGTAAAACCCGTATCTTACATTGATCTGTTAGTCAGAGCTTGGCTTGTCTTGTGGTTCGTGAAATCAATACCTGTTGGTGATGATCACTAACTGCTGGTTATTTATACAAAATTGAGCAACAGGTGCCCGATGTTAGAACTTTACTCGTCACGTAGTAAAACTACCGTGTTATAAGAACTAGTTAGCTTTATAACAACAACTAGTCACATGATGATAGAAATGATGTAAAATTATACCTTATCATGGTTACAATAATACAACCTTCATGTGACGTCAATTCTCACCTGAAGAACATGACGTCATCGATCATCTAGAAAGTAAACTCTGTCAGTAAGTCAATATCTGCTTAGTAAAAATAATACAAATTTTAAATCCAGTTATACAGTTGTAACAAACACTTCATGGTTTCTCAGTTGGAATTCTTGTAGGTCTAACTAGAATTTATTAAAACTAATTTGATCACGTGACCCATCATAACAGCAGGGCTTATATCCGACAAACGGCATGTGTTGCATGATTAACATAAGAAACAACATTAATATTGAAATTGTCACTGTGTCACTGTGTGAATAATTGTTTGCTTAACCAGTTTTAATTACGCCAGATGAAGTAATCCAGATCATGGCGTATGATCAGCAGGAACACGTTCTCCATAAGTCATTTGTACAAAAGTGATTTCAGGCTCTATCGTCATTTTCATTGATGGGATTCTCACGTGGGAGGTTTTCCTCATTATAATACTTTCTGATTATTTTGCATAATTTTAATGTTCAATATCACTGATTCCCAAATCAGCCCTCAGTCGATTGTTAGTTGATCATATCTACACTTGAAATCGCACGATAATAAACTGAGATAGAAATTAGTCTAGACCACAAGCACCACAAAATATCGCTGTTTACCTTCACAAGTTCACTGATACTACAAACCATTATAGTCCCTGTCAGTCCGTTTACATTTTCATCAAAGTTTAATTTGAAATTACCGGACGTTTACAGTACAATCATTTTCATACTAATATATCTTTTTCTATCACTCTACATGGTAACAAGCGGTTTTGCTGTTTGATTGAACTGTTCTTCACCTTGACCTTTCCTTGACCTGCCTTTGACCTTTGGTTCAATAGCCTTGGCTTCGGAGCCATGTTTCGACCTTGCCGTAGTTTTCATTCATCCATCGGACGTTGCTGGTGGTCTTCTCGATGGCCTGCTTGAAGGCACGCGTGCCTGACCCCATATCTGGGTTCTTCTCAAGGAAGTCATTGAGCTGATAAGAAAGTAAAATATTCCTTAATATAACCGTTCCTTGTTAAATACATGCTATTAATACAGCTCTGAGATAAAACTTACAAATTATTTCAGTTTTAATAGTAAATAGTACAAGTGAATAAAGACGATGTAAATTAACTTCTTGTTAATGTTATAAAGACATTTAATAGAATTAATTTATAATAAAACTTACAATTCTCAATATTAGAAATATGTCGAAGGGGCGCTATTACAAACGCTATTACATGATATCAACAACACTTTCCTTTCTAAATCCGATATTATCCGAAGCCGAGATATTTAAATACTGTAATAATCAGACAATTGTTGACGTGTCTAAGTCATGTTTCATCTCTCATTTATAAATAATATAGGCTGGTGTCTCTAACACATTAAAAAGGCATGTTTTCCACTTTGTTTCTTACCTTGATCAGCAATATTCTCAGGAAATATGTTTACACTTTAAAAGTTTTTAGATATTTAAATAACACTGCTAGTCTGTCCTATATGTAGATATTGGTCTTACTATTGAGGCCAAATGAATCAGTGTCATTCCCCTAGTAGCCAATATATCTAGCAAATACTGATAAACAAAATTCGCCATGATCTCTAGGTCTCGCGTAAATGAGAAAATGTGACGCGGTGACCATGATTAAGGACAATAAGCGTTTAGGGCTTCACCAGCAGAACCTGCTGTTTAAAAAACCAAAAAACCTAGATCGCATGAAAACTTCATACAACGATAAAGTTGACGAACAATGATAGAACGTTGCGCCCTTACGTTACCTCATTTCTTCCTCCGGCCAGGCAAACTTGTAATGATGGGGAACCATGCTTAAGTACGTTATTAACTAAATGAATAAGCAACATGCAGTCATTGTATATAAAACAACATATAACCATGCAAGCAGCTGACAATTACACAAGCAAGCGTGCACCAAGCCATACACGTGCACCGAATCATACATGTGCACCCAGTCATACACGTGTACCTAGTCATACACGTGCACCGAATCATACACGTGCACCCAGTCCTACACATGCACCCAGTCATAAACGTGCACCGAATCATACACGTGCACCCAGTCATACACGTGTACCTAATCATACACGTGTACCTAATCATACACGTGTACCTAATCATACACGTGCACCCAGTCATACACGTGCATCGAATCATACACGTGTACCGAATCATACACGTGCACCCAGACATACACGTGCACCTAATCATACACGTGCACCGAGTCATACACGTGTACCCAGTCATAAACGTGTACCCAGTCATACACGTGCACCGAGTCATACACGTGCACCCAGTCATACACGTGCATCCAGTCATACACATGTACGTTACCTTCCTAGTTCCATATATCATCCCCAATACATTTTGCCGATCAATAAGCAAACATCTAGTTAATAGTACACTAATGACCCATTGAGCGAAGCGTGTTCATTTAGTGTCCCCAACAGGAGAAATACACCTCTCCACAGTGCAATACCTGATCGTGCTCAATTTGTGTATTGAAATTTTTCAGTAATCCTGATAACAGCTGAGCAAACTGGAATACCGCTCCTCCCAATCTGAAACAGGTAAACGTTTTATAGTCCTAGCTCTGGGGTCATATTCGTTTTTTTTTTTTTATTTCAGTGCTGACGTGAAAACTCGTCAATCTAACACAAACTGGAATACCACACCTCCCAATCTGAAATTTAACAAGTAAGCGGTTTAAAGGCAGAGTATTAATTTACTTTTGTTTCTAGCTAACTTTGATTTTCTTCGGTCACCTCAAACGTTTCACGATTAAGACCATTAGCATCACTGACGATTCCTAGAAGGACGAAACAACTGTATGATGCAGTGACACGGACGAGTCCTCGAAGAACGAAACAGCTGTATGATGTAGCATCACTGTGAGTCCTAGAAGGACGAAACAGCTGTATGATGTATCATCACTGATGAGTCCTAGAAGGACGAAACAGCTGTATGATGTAGCATCACTGTGAGTCCTAGAAGGATGAAACAGCTGTATGATGTATCATCACTGATGAGTCCTAGAAGGACGAAACAGCTGTATGATGCAGCATCACTGACGAGTCCTAGAAGGACGAAACAGCTGTTTGATGTAGCATCACTGATGAGTCCTAGAAGGACGAAACAGCTGTATGATGTAGCATCACTGACGAGTCCTAGAAGGACGAAACAACTGTATGATGCAGTGACACGGACGAGTCCTCGAAGAACGAAACAGCTGTATGATGTAGCATCACTGTGAGTCCTAGAAGGACGAAACAGCTGTATGATGTATCATCACTGATGAGTCCTAGAAGGACGAAACAGCTGTATGATTTAGCATCACTGACGAGTCCTAGAAGGACGAAACAGCTGTATGATGTAGCATCAATGACGAGTCCTAGAAGGACGAAACAATTGTGTTATGTAGTTTAATTAGCCTAATCTGTCTCCTATACAAGGATTTTTGTCATGCCTTTCAATCATATTGTATTTTGATACCAATAAACATGTATCATTAAATGGAGAAATAGAATTACAGTTTGATATAATGATTCATATAGCAGTCGTGAGAACCAGTGTTAAGTTTTCGGGAATAACTGTAGAACTATAACAAGATAGGAGTCAACAGAGTACAACAATATAGGAGTCAACAGAGTACAACAATATAGGAGTCAACAGAGTATAACAATATAGGAGTCAACAGAGTCAACAGAGTGCAACAATATAGGAGTCAACAGAGTACAACAATATAGGAGTCAACAGAGTATAACAATATAGGAGTCAACAGAGTACAACAATATAGGAGTCAACAGAGTATAACAATATAGGAGTCAACAGAGTCAACAGAGTGCAACAATATAGGAGTCAACAGAGTATAACAATATAGGAGTCAACAGAGTCAACAGAGTGCAACAATATAGGAGTCAACAGAGTCAACAGAGTGCAACAATATAGGAGTCAACAGAGTACAACAATATAGGAGTCAACAGAGTCAACAGAGTACAACAATATAGGAGTCAACAGAGTACAACAATATAGGAGTCAACAGAGTACAACAATATAGGAGTCAACAGAGTACAACAATATAGGAGTCAACAGAGTACAACAATATAGGAGTATAACAATATAGGAGTCAACAGAGTACAACAATATAGGAGTCAACAGAGTATAACAATATAGGAGTCAACAGAGTACAACAATATAGGAGTCAACAGAGTACAACAATATAGGAGTCAACAGAGTCAACAGAGTACAACAATATAGGAGTCAACAGAGTACAACAATATAGGAGTCAACAGAGTACAACAATATAGGAGTCAACAGAGTCAACAGAGTACAACAATATAGGAGTCAACAGAGTATAACAATATAGGAGTCAACAGAGTATAACAATATAGGAGTCAACAGAGTCAACAGAGTGCAACAATATAGGAGTCAACAGAGTCAACAGAGTACAACAATATAGGAGTCAACAGAGTACAACAATATAGGAGTCAACAGAGTACAACAATATAGGAGTCAACAGAGTACAACAATATAGGAGTCAACAGAGTCAACAGAGTACAACAATATAGGAGTCAACAGAGTATAACAATATAGGAGTCAACAGAGTATAACAATATAGGAGTCAACAGAGTACAACAATATAGAGTACAACAATATAGAGTCAACAGAGTACAACAATTTAGGAGTCAACAGAGTCAACAGAGTACAACAATATAGGAGTCAACAGAGTATAACAATATAGGAGTCAACAGAGTCAACAGAGTACAACAATATAGGAGTCAACAGAGTATAACAATATAGGAGTCAACAGAGTACAACAATATAGGAGTCAACAGAGTACAACAATATAGGAGTCAACAGAGTCAACAGAGTACAACAATATAGGAGTCAACAGAGTACAACAATATAGGAGTCAACAGAGTATAACAATATAGGAGTCAACAGAGTACAACAATATAGGAGTCAACAGAGTACAACAATATAGGAGTCAACAGAGTATAACAATATAGGAGTCAACAGAGTATAACAATATAGGAGTCAACAGAGTATAACAATATAGGAGTATAGGAGTCAACAGAGTACAACAATATAGAGTCAACAATATACAATATAGGAGTCAACAGAGTACAACAATATAGGAGTCAACAGAGTACAACAATATCAACAGAGTATAACAATATAGGAGTCAACAGAGTCAACAGAGTACAACAATATAGGAGTCAACAGAGTATAACAATATAGGAGTCAACAGAGTACAACAATATAGGAGTCAACATAGTATAACAATATAGGAGTCAACAGAGTATAACAAGATAGGAGTCAACAGAGTCAACAGAGTACAACAATATAGGAGTCAACAGAGTATAACAATATAGGAGTCAACAGAGTACAACAATATAGGAGTCAACAGAGTACAACAATATAGGAGTCAACAGAGTACAACAATATAGGAGTCAACAGAGTATAACAATATAGGAGTCAACAGAGTATAACAATATAGGAGTCAACAGAGTACAACAATATAGGAGTCAACAGAGTACAACAATATAGGAGTCAACAGAGTATCTATTACAAACAAGGAGTTGATAGAGTAAGAGGTCAGGATTACACCTGAATTTCTAAGATAAGTAAAACAAAGTAATAACATTTTAAAGCAGATACTACTCCATGCAGGAAAAGACCACCAACTCATCGAGATAAGCTTAACTAGCAGTCTTAGAAACCTAAGTTAACTGTGTTATAAGTTCAGTATTACTATCTGTTAAGTTAGATTTATCGTATAAAAGCCTGATTGTATAACAAACGTCACGCCATAATTAATTAACAGTATATCTGTATGTACCGTATAATTACCTTGTCTGTATGAATAACTTTACTGTATGGCTAACTTTACTGTATGGCTAACTTGTCTGTATGACTAACTTGTCTGTATGACTAACTTGTCTCTAAGAATATCTTTACTGTATGGCTTACTTGTCTGTATGGTTAACTTGTCTGTATGGTTAACTTGTCTGTATGAAAAACTTTACTGTATGACTAACTTGTCTGTATGAATAACTTTACTGTATGGCTAACTTGTCTGTATGACTAACTTGTCTGTATGAATAACTTTACTGTATGGCTAACTTGTCTGTATGACTAACTTGTCTGTATGAATAACTTGTTTGTATAAATAACACTACTGTATGGCTAACTTTACTGTATGACTAACTTGTCTGTATGAATAACTTTACTGTATGACTAACTTGTCTGTATGACTAACTTGTCTGTATGACTAACTTTACTGTATGGCTAACTTGTCTGTATGGCTAACTTGTCTGTATGGGTAACTTGTCTGTATGAATAACTTTACTGTATGGCTAACTTGTCTGTATGAATAACTTGTCTGTATGACTAACTTGTCTGTATGACTGACTTGTCTGTATGACTAACTTGTCTGTATGAATAACTTTACTGTATGGCTAACTTGTCTGTATGACTAACTTGTCTCTAAGAATATCTTTACTGTATGGCTTACTTGTCTGTATGGTTAACTTGTCTGTATGGTTAACTTGTCTGTATGAAAAACTTTACTGTATACTAACTTGTCTGTATGAATAACTTTACTGTATGGCTAACTTGTCTGTATGACTAACTTGTCTGTATGAATAACTTTACTGTATGGCTAACTTGTCTGTATGACTAACTTGTCTGTATGAATAACTTGTTTGTATAAATAACACTACTGTATGGCTAACTTTACTATTACTGTATGACTAACTTGTCTGTATGACTAACTTGTCTGTATGACTAACTTTACTGTATGGCTAACTTGTCTGTATGGCTAACTTGTCTGTATGGTTAACTTGTCTGTATGGGTAACTTGTCTGTATGAATAACTTTACTGTATGGCTAACTTGTCTGTATGACTAACTTGTCTGTATGAATAACTTGTTTGTATGAATAACTCTACTGTATGAATAACTTTACTGTATGGCTAACTTGTCTGTATGAATAACTTGTTTGTATGAATAACTCTACTGTATGAATAACTTTACTGTATGGCTAACTTGTCTGTATGAATAACTTGTCTGTATGAATAACTCTACTGTATGGCTAACTTTACTGTATGGCTAACTTGTCTGTATGAATAACTTTACTGTATGGCTAACTTGTCTGTATGGTTAACTTGTCTGTATGGTTAACTTGTCTGTATGAATAACTTTACTGTATGACTAACTTGTCTGTATGAATAACTTTACTGTATGGCTAACTTGTCTGTATGACTAACTTGTCTGTATGAATAACTTTACTGTATGGCTAACTTGTCTGTATGGTTAACTTGTCTGTATGAATAACTTTACTGTATGGCTAACTTGTCTGTATGACTAATTTGTCTGTATGGCTAACTTGTCTGTATGACTAATTTGTCTGTATGACTAACTTGTCTGTATGACTAACTTTATATGGCTAACTTGTCTGTATGACTAACTTGTCTGTATGAATAACTTTACTGTATGGCTAACTTGTCTGTATGACTAACTTGTCTGTATGACTAACTTGTCTGTATGAATTACCCTACTGTATGAATAACTTTACTGTATGGCTAACTTGTCTGTATGACTGACTTGTCTGGTTGAATAACTTTACTGTATGAATAACTTTAATGTATGACTAACTTTACTGTATGACTAACTTGTCTGTATGACTAACTTGTCTGTATGACTAACTCTACTGTATGAATAACTTTACTGTATGGTTAACTTGTCTGTATGGATATCTTTACTGTATGGCTAACTTGTCTGTGAATAACTTGTCTGTATGACTAACTTGTCTGTATGAATTACTCTACTGTATGAATAACTTTACTGTATGACTAACTTGTCTGTATGACTAACTTTACTGTATGAATTACTTTACTGTATGACTAAGTTGGCGGTATGAGTAATTTACTGTATGACTAAGTTGGCGGTATGAGTAACTTTAATGTATGACTAAGTTGGCGGTATGAGTAACTTTACTGTATGACTAAGTTGGCGGTATGAATAACTTTACTGTATGACTAAGTTGGCGGTATGACTAATTTGTCTGTATGACTAACTTGTCTGTATGAATTACTCTACTGTATGAATAACTTTACTGTATGACTAACTTTACTGTATGACTAACTTGTCTGTATGACTAACTTTACTGTATGAATTACTTTACTGTATGACTAAGTTTACTGTATGACTAAGTTGGCGGTATGAATAACATTACTGTATGATAAATTTACTGTATGACTAATAACTTTACTGTATGGCTAACTTTAGTTGGCGGTATGAATAACTTTCTGTATGACTAATAACTTTACTGTATGACTAACTTGTCTGTATGAATAACTTTACTGTATGACTAACTTTACTGTATGACTAACTTGTCTGTATGACTAACTTTACTGTATGAATTACTTTACTGTATGACTAAGTTGGCGGTATGAGTAACTTTACTGTATGACTAAGTTGGCGGTATGAATAACATTACTGTATGACTAACTTGTCTCTCAGAATATCTTTACTGTATGGCTTACTTGTCTGTGTGGTTAACTTGTCTTTATGGTTAACTTGTCTGTATGAATAACTTTACTGTATGGCTAACTTGTCTGTATGAATAACGTTACTGTATGGCTAACTTGTCTGTATGACTAACTTGTCTGTATGAATAACTTTACTGTATGGCTAACTTGTCTGTATGGTTAACTTGTCTGTATGACTAACTTGTCTCTCAGAATATCTTTACTGTATGGCTTACTTGTCTGTGTGGTTAACTTGTCTTTATGGTTAACTTGTCTGTATGAATAACTTTACTGTATGGCTAACTTGTCTGTATGAATAACGTTACTGTATGGCTAACTTGTCTGTATGACTAACTTGTCTGTATGAATAACTTTACTGTATGGCTAACTTGTCTGTATGAATAACGTTACTGTATGGCTAACTTGTCTGTATGACTAACTTGTCTGTATGAATAACTTTACTGTATGACTAACTTGTCTGTATGACTAACTTGTCTGTATGAATAACTTGTTTGTATGAATAACTCTACTGTATGGCTAACTTTACTGTATGGCTAACTTGTCTGTATGACTGACTTGTCTGTATGAATAACTTTACTGTATGAATAACTTTAATGTATGAATAACTCTACTGTATGAATAACTTGTCTGTTTGAATAACTTGTCTGTATGAATAACTTGTCTGTTTGAATAACTTTACTGTATGGCTAACTTGTCTGTATGACTAACTTGTCTGTATGACTAACTGGTCTGTATGACTAACTCTACTCTATGAATTACTTTACTGTATGAATAACTTTACTGTATGACTAAGTTGGCGGTATGAATAACTTTACTGTATGACTAAGTTGGTGGTATGAGTAGCGAAGCTGTAAGACTAGCTTACCTACAAGAATCTATTTTGTCATTATCAGATTTTCCTAGTCTTGTTTACCTGCTGAATATCAAAATCAGTGTTGAATTTTGAACTTAGTCCGGATATTAAACCACTGAAGGAAAATAATCCCCCGCCAAAGCTGAAATGTTGAGACCATTTAGTTCAATGAATATTGTTTCTTAGCAAGATAGCATGTTAAACATATGTAGAAATAATGAATACATACATCTCAAATATCTGTAAACCATACTGATTACTCTAAACCCGTATACTTTACCTGTAACCGGCATCAGTCAAACACAGCTGGAAACATGCTTCAAAGAATTTGTAAAATCATCCAAACAAGAGACACAAATATCATCAACAGCATAGCTAGATAAACAAGTATTTGTACACTATCAAGATGTTACAGAATACACAACACAATGTTTAAAAAGTAAAACACGTGCATCAAAAATGTTCCAAAGTACACTCCTTCAGAACACAATGTTCAAAAGTACACTCCTTCAGAACACAATGTTCATAAAGACACGAACACACACAACAATGTTAAGATATAAAACTCGTGCATCAAAGACACTACGAAATACATTCTAATGAGAAATTAAGCTAAATTACCAGTATTTCATACATCAGTTGTGAACATTCGAAGAAATACTGAACTATGCTGATTTTCATAGAAAAAATAGAAATCAAACTCACCAGTTTTAAAGCTGGGGTCAACATATATGGGAATTTAACATTAGCATCCCCCTCCCAACTTGGAATTCCAAAATATGATAACCATAAACAGATATGGGTATCAGAAGCTTAAATACGGAAAAGCTAGTCTTGGAATTGATTTCTTATAAAATGGGAGCTCCTTGACTAACACATTGGTGGATGTTAAAGTAGTTGTTATATAATTCCTTCCAGTACATTGCTATAAGGCAATTTCAATAAAATTATGTCATTAATGTGTGCACATTGTACCAACTAACATTTAGATACCACATATCACACTATTTCAGGAAAAATGTTTATTTTATGTTGAAAAATGCAGCCAAAAATCATATAAAAAGCCAATACTTTTGAGAAAAGTACTGTTTTGGACACTTCCATTTTCATACTTCCAAAACCAGTCTATTTTTCTTACTTGCTTTAAAGATAATATCTTTCAAAAGGAGGATTCTTGGCAAAAATGAAAACCGGTAAATTTGTCATTTTACACATTTGCTTTAAAAAAAAGAGAAACACTGATTTTTTTTTTCATTTTCGTTAAATAGTGACAGCTTAATAACCAAAAGTCTGTAGGTCTTGCCATTTGATAAGGTGTTTGTTCATGTCAATTTGTATCAGTTTGGGTAACATTGCTGAACATGACCTTTGTTCAAGGTCATACAAATGAAATTTGTTAAAATAAAGACATTTTTGTGCAAGTTTCACAATTTGAAGATTAAGTTATCTTTTGATGAAGGTCAATAAAGTGACCTTATTAGTTAGATTATGTACAGTAATAGTGACGGGTTTTGCCTTTATCAGTTCCGATCAATAATGTGTGGCACTTTTAGAAGCTAATAAGATATAGAACAGTTGCAGTTTGCAGCACATTACATTGCGTTTTAGTATAGCAGAACTGCTCAAGTGATTGCCTGTTTGAACTTGAGTGTTGCATGGACTGGAGTTTGCTGAACAAGGCCCAAGAAATACAAAATGCACGCGACATGTGCACACATTCCAACGGTTCGCTTGCCCGCTGGACAGACACAGTAGTAATCTTTGACATGGTCATCTTGATCATTTCCGTCAAACGCAATCGAAACAAAGTATTTTGACTGATTTGTGCCTTGAATGGATTTGGCCTCGGAGAAGATTTTCAGCGTGCTGATAGACCCAAACTTCAAAGTCTCCAGCAGGAATCAGATGTTCAGCAATATATCGGGTGCTACTTTCAACTGGTATGATCCGCAGGCATATATACGTAGAAAGTTTTTTAATTAAGTATGAAATATAGACTGAGATTGCAACTATACAAAATGAACTTGACAATCTTTGATATATTCTTTATTTTTTGAAAATTTTGCATATTTTTTTAAAAATCAAATATGCTTACAAATTTCTATGCCAATATAACATATGTGGTATCAAAATAACGGCCATTTTATGTACTTTAGGCTGGTATATAAAAAATTTCATTTAAAATTCTCATGTAGCAAGTATTTGCCATTATGTTAGGGTACCTTTGTCACTCAACCTGGTGTTATACAAGGAGGTCCAGTATGACTATAAGTAGTTATAATGACTAATCATTTATGCAGTTGTAGGTTATTTTCATATATCTACATATCGCGAAAAAACAACAGAAATCTGTGTGGGGGCCAAATGTTGACCCCACCTTTGGTAAAATGTAAAATTTTGTTTTAGTATAAAGAAATATTTTATATTGGTATCAGAAATAGTTCGTCCATCCCTGAAATGTTCAATGTATTAAGTTGTTATGTCAGGGTACAGGTCCTAATGTAAAACAAAACAGGCAAGGTCAGGTATTAACTTGATAACACTACCATAGCTCAGTCAGACGGTTAATACAACAGATATTAGGGACATGTGAGAGGGGCGGTAACTGCTACTATTGGGACACACTCTAGTCACACCATGTAAGCACGTCCTACCTGAAGTAAATCAATGTTTGTGTTGAATTCGTACGTTATTCCACGTAACATCTTCCCTAAAATATTGAACTCCCCACCAAACCTGTAACAGAAATCACCGTATTCTCTGACAGGGACTGACGGTGTGGACAGAACTTACACTACTGGTTGTGAGTATAGTGACTTCCATTGACTGTCATTATTTATCAGCGTTACACTACTGGTTGTCAGTATGACTTCCATTGACTGTCATTATTTATCAGTGTTACACTACTGGTTGTCAGTATGACTTCCATTGACTGTCATTATTGATCAGCGTTACACTACTGGTTGTCAGTATAGTGACTTCCATTGACTGTCATTATTTATCAGCGTTACACTACTGGTTGTCAGTATAGTGACTTCCATTGACTGTCATTATTTATCAGCGTTACACTACTGGTTGTCAGTATAGTGACTTCCATTGTCTGTCATTATTTATCAGCGTTACACTACTGGTTGTCAGTATGACTTCCATTGTCTGTCATTATTTATCAGTGTTACACTACTGGTTGTCAGTATAGTGACTTCCATTGACTGTCATTATTTATCAGCGTTACACTACTGGTTGTCAGTATGACTTCCATTGACTGTCATTATTTATCAGTGTTACACTACTGGTTGTCAGTATAGTGACTTCCATTGACTGTCATTATTTATCAGTGTTACACTACTGGTTGTCGGTATAGTGACTTCCATTGACTTTCATTATTTATCAGTGTTACACTACTGGTTGTCAGTATAGTGACTTCCATTGACTGTCATTATTTATCAGCGTTACACTACTGGTTGTCAGTATGACTTCCATTGACTGTCATTATTTATCAGTGTTACACTACTGGTTGTCAGTATGACTTCCATTGACTGTCATTATTTATCAGCGTTACACTACTGGTTGTCAGCATGACTTCCATTGACTGTCATTATTTATCAGCGTTACACTACTGGTTGTCAGTATGACTTCCATTGACTGTCATTATTTATCAGCGTTACACTACTGGTTGTCAGTATGACTTCCATTGACTGTCATTATTTATCAGTGTTACACTACTGGTTGTCAGCATGACTTCCATTGACTGTCATTATTTATCAGCGTTACACTACTGGTTGTCAGTATGACTTCCATTGACTGTCATTATTTATCAGCGTCACACTACTGGTTGTCAGTATGACTTCCATTGACTGTCATTATTTATCAGTGTTACACTACTGGTTGTCAGTATGACTTCCATTGACTGTCATTATTTATCAGTGTTACACTACTGGTTGTCAGTATGACTTCCATTGACTGTCATTATTTATCAGTGTTACACTACTGGTTGTGAGTATAGTGACTTCCATTGACTGTCATTATTTATCAGTGTTACACTACTGGTTGTCAGTATAGTGACTTCCATTGACTGTCATTATTTATCAGCGTTACACTACTGGTTGTCAGTATGACTTCCATTGACTGTCATTATTTATCAGCGTTACACTACTGGTTGTCAGTATGACTTCCATTGACTGTCATTATTTATCAGTGTTACACTACTGGTTGTCAGCATGACTTCCATTGACTGTCATTATTTATCAGTGTTACACTACTGGTTGTGAGTATAGTGACTTCCATTGACTGTCATTATTTATCAGTGTTACACTACTGGTTGTCAGTATAGTGACTTCCATTGACTGTCATTATTTATCAGTGTTACACTACTGGTTGTCAGTATAGTGACTTCCATTGACTGTCATTATTTATCAGCGTTACACTACTGGTTGTCAGTATGACTTCCATTGACTGTCATTATTTATCAGTGTTACACTACTGGTTGTCAGTATAGTGACTTCCATTGTCTGTCATTATTTATCAGTGTTACACTACTGGTTGTCAGTATAGTGACTTCCATTGACTGTCATTATTTATCAGTGTTACACTACTGGTTGTCAGTATAGTGACTTCCATTGACTGTCATTATTTATCAGCGTTACACTACTGGTTGTCAGTATGACTTCCATTGACTGTCATTATTTATCAGTGTTACACTACTGGTTGTCAGTATGACTTCCATTGACTGTCATTATTTATCAGTGTTACACTACTGGTTGTCAGTATAGTGACTTCCATTGTCTGTCATTATTTATAAGCGTTACACTACTGGTTGTAAGCGTTTTGATGTTAGTTGTCCAGTGTTGTACCTTTTCTAGCATTGAAGCAAGTTGATAACAGAAGCGCTTTGTTACAGTAACAAAAGCTGTGGAACTGATCACAATTTCGAAGTGAAAGCTTTACGAAAAACTAACAAAAATACTGTCTCATACACGACACCATCAACACAGACATCAAACCTCTCCAGCTCACAATAATTATTAGACAGTCCGAACATCATTAAAGAAATTGAAATGTATGCGTTGTATTTCTTTGCATATGTTATCGAATTTGATATATCTTTTGATGATGGCCTGTTAGTCTGCGAGCAGACGTGTTTACTTCGGAAATAATACAAAGTCTGGTGTCCGTGCGAAATCACCAGTAAATGTTTTTCCTTATTTTTACCTAAACGTAAGTATTGTTGTCATTGAACTCCGTCTACCCTCTCAAGCGGTCACAACGCAATGTACACAGTGTATGTATATTTGTTAAATATAATCTGAATCTGCGACTTCATGGGGGATAACTCTCAGCTAGATACATTGTCACCATACCCAAATAAATCATGGATTTTTCTATTTCTAATAGCTGGCTGTTTATGATTCTGTAAATATCTCCATTTTGAGGCTAAGCCACAGAAAAAAAATCAATCACCATTTTAAACAGTTTTGTAATAGATTGTATGTAGAATGTTTGACGATATCCAGTCGCTAACTGGATCTGCCGCGGATTTCCCCGGTCCTGTTGAAGTCGCTTACAGACTGATGCAACTCTTAATGTAAAACTGCGCTTAATGAAATAATTATCACAATAAGCGTTGCAACGGCTATGCTTAATGTAATTAAGTTATTTTTATTACATTAAGCGGGGCAACTGTAACGCTTAATGTAATAATAATTTTTATTATTACATTACGCGCCGCAAAAAATTGTTACATTAGCGGTAATTTAAATGCAACCACAACCCTTAGTGTAATAATTTATTTTGTATTACTCTAAGCGTAACAATTGCAACTCTGAATGTAATAAAGATAAGTTTATTACATTAAGCGTAACGGTCGCAACGCTTAATGTAACAATTATTACATTAGCGCCGTTATTACATTAAGAGTTACGTCACAGACCTCGTTGCGTCAGTTTATAACCGAGTTTTTTTTAAACTGTCCGATATTCATTAAAAGTACACATCATGATGACCTGAAAGTAGTTTAGCTGTTACTTGGTAATAATACAAAAAGTAAAGTGCGCGCGGTATCATTAAATACTCTAATATTCACAACTTTTGACGCTTTTTCAGAAATATTTCTTGGTTTCGCTATTTCATGAGTAGGATAACATTGAAGTGTGACACAGCACCTGTCTGTGTGTTGAGAGCTGGAGAGGTGAGATGATAGTCTGTCATGCTTTAAACGACGACATAATACCTGTTGTAATTCTAACTTTGAGTTGAAGTTTGCAGTTACACCAGATATCAATTTTCCAAACTTTGATAATCCACCTGAATTTCTGTAATAATAGTTTATATATAAACAATTTAAATAATCTGGTTTTTTAAAATATAAATAAGATATGGATTTTGCACCTTTGTGTCAACGGAATCGCAACATAGGAGAAAAGCATCAAACAATACGTCGTTTTATCGTATATGAAATATGATATTCATATTAACTTCAAATGACAGTTAACGTCGTACTCGTAACATCAAGAAACGCCTTTCTAGAGAGAGAGAAGGGGGGAGGGGGGGAGAGAGAGAGAGAGAGAGAGAGAGATGGTGGAGGAGACAGTGAGAAACATAGAGAGGATGGAGGAGGGAGACAATGAGAAACATAGATAGGGTGGAGGAGAGAGACAGTGAGAAACTGAGAGAGGGTGGAGGAGAGAGACGGTGAGAAATATAGAGAGAGAGTTGGGAGAAAGACAGTGAGAAACAGAGAAAGGGTGGGGAGAGAGAGACAGTGAGAAACATAGAGAGGGTGGGGGAGAGAGACAGTGAGAAACATAGAGAGGGCGGGGGAGAGACAGTGAGAAACATAGAGAGAGAGTTGGGAGAGAGACACTGAGAAACATACAGAGGGTGGGGGAGAGAGACGGTGAGAAACAGAGAGAGGGTGGAGGAGACAGACAGTGAGAAACATAGATAGGGTGGGGGAGAGAGACAGTGAGAAACATAGATAGGGTGGAGGAGAGAGAGTGAGAAACATAGAGAGGGTGGAGGAGACAGACAGTCAGTGAGACCTTTAGGTAAGAGATAGCTTACACACATGTCATGTCCAGTCAGATGACTTTACAATATAAACTCCAACCTATAGGTAAGAGATAAATAACAGAAGTGATTATCAATGTGTCATAATCATTCTGCAATACTTACTCATTCATAAGGAAATTCCAATGTTCCCTCACAAAATCCCAGGCCAGGGCCCTACCGATCGGGTTGTTAGCTATATACACTATAACACTGGTCGCATCCTGTTTCCGGATCTTGTCGGGACTTATGGAATATACCAGATACCTGGAATAGATGGACAGGAGGAAGTAAGGAACAAACACGTCACACACTCACCCGGGGAAACCCCACGTGGTCAGGTAAGGGGTCACCTGCCCGACCACGTGGGTTTTCCCCGGGTACTCCGGTTTCCTCCCACAATAAGACCCCTCGCGCGCTTACATCCGGGCCAACAAGAGTGATTAGTATAAGTTGAAATAACTTGTTTCGCAATTGTTGTAAAATAAATAAAGTTTATATTTATATTTATATCACACACTCACCTGTAAATTCCGCAGCATCAGAAATTGCAAAAGGAAAACAAAAACAAACAAAACAACAAATTACCGTAACGCGCACCTGGTTCCAAAGTATTGCTTTGTCTATATTATAAAGTTGTAAGGTATTGAAATCTGCTCAAGGTAACCATATATCACGTGTTAGTGATTAATGACGTCATACCTGCTAAGGACCCAGGTTTCTCTGCTACACGCCAGGGCAGCCATGAGTCGGGATTGTTCGCCAGCCACGTTAGACGCCTTAAACATACGATAGGCGAAATCCCACTCTTCTATACCGCCATGAGCAATCGCTGTACAGTACACGGTCCCTCGTAACGACGCATCAATCCTACACAAAAAGGGAAATCAAGCGAGCCATGGGCATCTTATATAATAGGTATGGTGGCTGATTCGGGACATCGTAATATCGCTTCGATTAATGTGAAGCGAGATTGCGATATTACGATAGAACGATGCGATACTACGATAGCACGATGCGATATCGTGGTATCGCATTGTGATATCGTGATATCGCATCGTGGTATCGTGATATCGCAATCTCGCTTCCCCATTGGTCATTGAATTCATTAGATATTAGTAAGCACCATACTTATACCATCGTACCTTAACGTGGGCGACAACATAACTTTTTATATTGTAACTAAACACATGTGGCTATATACTGAAGAGAAACATGACAATGACACATGTTTGCGGGTGGGAATCGAATGATGACGTTGTTGTTCGTCGATTATTTCAATACTGAATTATAAAGTACAACATATTCACCAATCAAAACATCCAGAAAGGAGCACCTGTAATGAGTTGTCGTAAATATCTGGTTATAATTTTTTTTTCATTTTAACAGTAGATTTAAAATGTAACAATATTTCTTACGGATTAGGTGCGTCCGGATTTTGCAGCCATGATTCGAACAACCGTTTAGCCTCTAGCACACATTCGTCGATACCATAATGACATGCCTGGGACGCCAGCGTCGCCCGCAGATATCTACAAGGTAAGCACTTCATATCATTTGTTTGGAGAAAAGAAATCGTAAAGTAAATTGTCAACCAAGCTATTGGAATCGAACCGATTGTGTTAACATACTACTATTATTATTATTGTCTTTATTTCCTCCAAAGATGAAGAGCATTACATACAAATTACAAAATAAATCAACTTGAAAAGCATACAATTAGGGTGGAACTTAATGTAGATTTTACAAATTATGATTATACATACAATATGTTAGTTTTATGTAATTTATACTCCGTGAAGAATTATCTTGCAAGATATAATGTTATGAAATAATTACATAGTAAGTATATATGTCACAATAATAGGTTTTAAGTGTATATAACACAGAGGGCCTCCTGACAGCTTTATTTGGAGAAATTTTAGGGGGAGATAACTGTCAGTGTTAGATAGTTATCAATGTTATTTTAACTTTACAAAAACAAGACATTAATTGACCGTGTCGACTCGACTTATCTAAATCAGCAGTTTCCTTAAAAGGTAAGCACCACAAAACCATGTATCGTCAGGAATGTTTGATAAAGTATTTTTGGGTACGAGATATAACCATGTGTTGTGAGGAATATTAGAAATAGTATTTTTGGGTACGAGACCTAGCCATCTCGTACCCAAAAATACTATTTCTAATATTCCTCACAACACATGACTAGGTCTCGTACCAAAATACTATTTCTAATATTCCTCACAACACATGACTAGGTCGCCGCTTTCAGGTCACGGTACCACGATACCGCGACCTGAAAGCCGCGACACGGATACTGTGACCTGAGAGGGGCGACACTAATACCGTGACCTGAAAGCGGCGACACGGATACTGTGACCTGAAAACGGCGACACGGATACCGCGACCTGAAAGCGGCGACACGGATACCGCGACCTGAAAGCCGCGACACGAATACCGTGACCTGAAAGCGGCGACACGGATACCGCGACCTGAAAGTCGCGACACGGATACCGCGACCTGAAAGCCGCGACACGAATACCGCGACCTGAAAGCGGCGACACGGATACCGCGACCTGAAAGCGGCGACACGGATACTGTGACCTGAGAGGGGCGACACGAATACCGCGACCTGAAAGCCGCGACCTGACCTGAGAGTGGCGACACGGATACCGCGACCTGAAAGCGGCGACACGGATACTGTGACCTGAGAGGGGCGACACGAATACCGCGACCTGAAAGCCGCGACACGAATACCGCGACCTGAAAGCGGCGACACGGATACCGCGACCTGAAAGCGGCGACACGGATACTGTGACCTGAAAGCGGCGACACGGATACCGCGACCTGAAAGCCGCGACACGAATACCGCGACCTGAAAGCGGCGACACGGATACCGCGACCTGAAAGCGGCGACACGGATACCGCGACCTGAGAGGGGCGACACGAATACCGCGACCTGAAAGCCGCGACACGAAAACCGTTCACAAAGTAACAAAATTCCGGAAGTAATTTGGGTCAACTCGTATAGCTGTAGTCAACCCGTGACACCGCGCCTTTGTGGCCAAAGTTCGGTCTAAATGTTCCGCTGTAGTCATTAAAAGACTCCTATGATTACGTCCGGGATAGGTTTTTATTAATCTTACGTTTTCATGTTCCTGATACCGGACTGTGAGATACGCTGATGTCTACCGTAACCTGAAGAGAAATCTTGATTTACAGTATCATGACGTCACTATTTATATGCGTCGTCATTGAATATTTTCTTTTGGTCCTATTTTGCACCCTTTCATCAAAAGTAAATGGAGTTTTTGTTGATATGTATTTGTTACATATTTGTATGAACTTAGTTCAGATACCGACCCCTGTTAACGCTGTCGCTACGCGCATACAGTAAATGTACATGTACACCAGTTGTGGTGACGTCGCGGGTTTTAGGTACACAATAAAAAGTAGCATGGTCTGAGATGAGGTACCATATCCTTTAACAGTTTTCTGACAGTTGAGACCTTTTGACCTTGAATACTTACGCCTCTAGATGAGATGCACCAGTATTATCCAATGTTATGTTCGTAAAAGGTTCCCTCACCTTATTTTCCATAAATTTCTGAAATAAAAACAAAGTAGATACAGAATGCCTACAGGAAATATCGGACGACAAGTGTGCATGTTTTCTAATCCAACCAACTTATAGTCATACCACATACAGCTACAGAAGTGAGACGTTTTTATTTCCACAAGCCTAACGTGAAAGTTCGCCATACTTACGCTAAAGGAGCCATATAGTTCAGTTCTCTCTAGCATAGACTTGACATAGCCAAGCTCCCCGAGGGCAGAGTCCCATACAATATACTCCGGCTCTTTGTCAAGATATTCTACTGTGCTTAAAGCTGTCTCTATTGGTAGATCGCCCGATCTGTAAAACAAAAAGACCGTTACACTTAGTGGATGTGATGTCTAAATACCACGGAGACGTATAATATACAGACCGTTAGACTTAGTGGATGTGATGTCTAAATACCACGGAGACGTATAATATACAGACCGTTAGACTTAGTGGATGTGATGTCTAAATACCACGGAGACGTATAATATACAGACTGTTAGACTTAGTGGATGTGATGTCTAAATACCACGGAGACGTATAATATACAGACTGTTAGTCTTAGTGGATGTGATGTCTAAATACCACGGAGACGTATAATATACAGACTGTTAGACTTAGTGGATGTGATGTCTAAATACCACGGAGACGTATAATATACAGACTGTTAGTCTTAGTGGATGTGATGTCTAAATACCACGGAGATGTATAATATACAGACTGTTAGTCTTAGTGGATGTGATGTCTAAATACCACGGAGACGTATAATATACAGACTGTTAGACTTAGTGGATGTGATGTCTAAATACCACGGAGACGTATAATATACAGACTGTTAGACTTAGTGGATGTGATGTCTAAATACCACGGAGACGTATAATATACAGACTGTTAGACTTAGTGGATGTGATGTCTAAATACCACGGAGACGTATAATATACAGACTGTTAGACTTAGTGGATGTGATGTCTAAATACCACGGAGACGTATAATATACAGACTGTTAGACTTCGTGGATGTGATGTATAAATACCACGGAGACGTATAATATACAGACCGTTACACTTAGTGGATGTGATGTCTAAATACCACGGAGACGTATAATATACAGACTGTTAGACTTCGTGGATGTGATGTCTAAAATAATTGTAATTGACGAGGATAACAAGGGCTTCACATTTCATAACCGTTTTGTTTGTACCTAAAGGGTTAATGGATACCAGCATGAAAAAGTTCACTATATATGTACCCGGGCTTCTCAAAATCATCTTTGGACTAATCTGTACCCGTTCATTTCTGATCGATATAAACTACACAATTTTCTCAAACATACCTCGGTCTTATAGTAACCTATGTAGAAATATCCTTATTTCAAACAGTTATTCAAGTGAAGACATTGTATGTCATTTGGTACAGAAATTTAAACTGGATACCAACTACAAACACTTAGGAGTCTAACAATATTTGTTAAATACATTAGAGATGAACCAATAGACTTACTTCGCGAGATTCCACGCATCGTTGATTATCTGTGCTCGGTTGACAGGGTCGATCACCTGTGAAGTCAGACCATTAGAATTAAAACAACGTAATCATATCTCGTCCTATATAACAAAATATTAGATTTCTCGGAAACTTGAAGATATAATGAAACAGAAGGTCAAGATTTACCTTGTCAAGGACAGGAGAATTATTACATTAGAAATACAGCAGTTTGCATGTAGTTCCAGACACATGCGCCTTTTTATAGTAATTAGGGTTGGATTTTAAAGACTTACTGGTCTTACTGAGGGTTAATTTATCAAAGCCTCTATTTATAACTAGAATACTTACCAGGTAATCAGTTTTCAGTTGATGTACTCACCACAGGGTTAGTTTTCAGTTGATGTACTCACCACAGGGTTAGTTTTCAGTTGGTACTCACCACAGGGTTAGTTTTCAGCTGCTGTACTCACCACGGGGTAAGTTTTCAGCTGCTGTACTCACCACGGGGTTAGTTTTCAGCTGCTTTACTCACCACGGGGTTAGTTTTCAGTTGATGTACTCACCACAGGGTTAGTTTTCAGCTGCTGTACTTACCACAGGATTAGTTTTCAGCTGCTGTACTCACCACAGGGTTAGTTTTTAGTTGCTGTACTCACGATGGGGTTAGTTTTCAGTTGCTGTACTCACCACAGGGTTAGTTTTCAGCTGCTGTACTTACCACAGGGTTAGTTTTCAGCTGCTGTACTCACCACAGGGTTAGTTTTGAGTTCCTGTACTCACCACGGGGTTAGTTTTCAGCTGCTGTACTCACCCCAGGGTTAGTTTTCAGCTGCTGTACTATCGCTGCCCAGTTCTCCGAGTCGTAGTTTACACGGTAGTATCCATACTGTTTCACGTTAGCGATAAACCATGTGTCACCACTGCTTACAGCGTTAGCAATATAAACTGGAAAATAGTATCTTTTAACATTAGTGTTAGTTAATGTGGCAAAATTTCATAGTGACGTAAACAAATCATCCGGAGACATTCGCCGTTACTATAAAAGTATTGGAAAGGCTGAAAATGCGATTTATCAACGTACGGTATTGGTAAAACAAACCAGAACAGCTCGACCTGTCACAACCTGTAAGTACCCTTCGTATTCTGAAGTTGTGCAATACGTCATTAGAGACAGGGTAGCAAATCCTAAAGGTTTTTTTTCAAAAGCATGATTTAGAATTCAAAGAAGACGAAAAGACGATTGATTGAAATAATTCTTACTTGTGTCCGAGTCTCTACGCATCCATTTAACATCGGCGTCCGTCTGGTCAAACACCGGGCTGGTGGATGTTGTGTAGGTAAATGGGATCTCCCAACGGTAGCTAAAAATAACATATGACGTCAATGGATTTAATGTTATGTCACATCAGTAACATAAATTGAATAATTTTGATTAGATCTGGCAAAAGTATTTAAAATTTGATACAGATTACGGAACTCTTTACTACTATGTCACAAAAGAAGGATGTGGGAGGGGTACTGTTGTGTTGCACTTAATGAAGAATCGCCTTATGCAACAATGGAGGGTGTGAACTAGATAACGGAGTGATATATTTACTGTGTAGTCGGCTTAAACACAAATGGCGGGTGTGGACTAGATAACGGAGTGATACTGTGTAGTCGGCTTAAACACAAATGGAGGGTGTGGACTAGATAACAGAGTGATACTGTGTAGTCGGCTTAAACACAAATGGAGGGTATGGACTAGATAACGGAGTGATACTGTGTAGTCGGCTTAAACACAAATGGAGGGTGTGGACTAGATAACAGAGTGATACTGTGTAGTCGGCTTAAACACAAATGGAGGGTATGGACTAGATAACGGAGTGATACTGTGTAGTCGGCTTAAACACAAATGGCGGGTGTGGACTAGATAACAGAGTGATACTGTGTAATCGGCTTAAACACAAATGGAGGGTGTGGACTAGATATCGGAGTGATACACTTACTGTGTAGTCGGCTTAAACACAAATGGAGGTGTGGACTAGATAACGGAGTGATACACTTACTGTGTAGTCGGCTTAAACACAAATGGGGGTGTGGACTAGATAACGGAGTAATACAGTGTAGTCGGCTTAAACACAAATGGAGGTGTGGACTAGATAACGGAGTGATACTGTGTAGTCGGCTTAAACACAAATGGAGGGTGTGAACTAGATAACGGAGTGATACTGTGTAGTCGGCTTAAACACAAATGGAGGTGTGGACTAGATAACGGAGTGATACTGTGTAGTCGGCTTAAACACAAATGGAGGGTGTGAACTAGATAACGGAGTGATACACTTACTGTGTAGTCGGCTTAAACACAAATGGAGGGTGTGAACTAGATAACGGAGTGATACTGTGTAGTCGGCTTAAACACAAATGGAGGGTGTGAACTAGATAACGGAGTGATACTGTGTAGTCGGCTTAAACACAAATGGAGGGTGTGGACTAGATAACGGAGTGATACTGTGTAGTCGGCTTAAACACAAATGGAGGGTGTGGACTAGATAACGGAGTGATACTGTGTAGTCGGCTTAAACACAAATGGAGGTGTGGACTAGATAACGGAGTGATACTGTGTAGTCGGTTTAAACACAAACGGAGGGTGTGAACTAGATAACGGAGTGATACACTTACTGTGTAGTCGGCTTAAACACAAATGGAGGGTGTGAACTAGATAACGGAGTGATACTGTGTAGTCGGCTTAAACACAAATGGAGGGTGTGGACTAGATAACGGAGTGATACTGTGTAGTCGGCTTAAACACAAATGGAGGTGTGGACTAGATAATGGAGTGATACTGTGTAGTCGGCTTAAACACAAATGGAGGGTGTGAACTAGATAACGGAGTGATACACTTACTGTGTAGTCGGCTTAAACACAAATGGAGGGTGTGGACTAGATAACGGAGTGATACTGTGTAGTCGGCTTAAACACAAATGGAGGGTGTGAACTAGATAACGGAGTGATACTGTGTAGTCGGCTTAAACACAAATGGAGGGCGTGGAATAAGAATCAGATTAGCGTTGACTAGCACTTGTTAGGGTTGATAGGTAACCGGATGTCCCACTTACTTAAATGGAGACGGATAAGTCCCTGGATCCACGGCATTGTAGTCCCGTAGGTATCGCTTCTGCGTAGCCTTAAGGCCAGTGGCGCCGTTTTTGGTAACAGTCACAACCGGAAAATTCATCTGAAGTGTCCATGTGTCCATGATTTCCTTCACGTCAGTCCGTGGTTTGTTCTCCTTCATAGATTGCTAGAGAAACAGACAACCATTAGATATACTGTCTCTCCATCCTTAATGTGTTGCTAGAGAAACAGACAAATATTAGTTACACAGTCTCTCCATCCTTAATGTGTTGCTAGAGAAACAGACAAATATTAGTTGCACAGTCTCTCCATCCTTAATGTGTTGCTATAGAAACAGACAAATATTAGTTACACAGTCTCTCCATCCTTAATGTGTTGCTAGAGAGGGGTGCATTGAGAAGTATAAGTAACCCATTCGACTGTCTCTGATACAATGTACACCGCTTTAGACTCTGTGGGGAGTGGCTATAGAATTCTCCAAGTGTTCTACAGTGACAATTACAGACACTGCAAAACCCATGACAGTGTTGAAGCATGAAAATGAAATACATTGACAAATTCCAGTTCATCCGTCATGTCTTTGATCTGGAAGTTTGCGCTGTTACGCTAGGATCTATCTTGTTCGAAACAACATTGAGTAGCATCAAATGATTTGTCAGTGGGTGTGCTGGTAAAATGAGTCACGGTGATTTGTCAGTGGGTGTGCTGGTAAAATGAGTCACGGTGATTTGTCAGTGGGTGTGCTGGTAAAATGAGTCACGGTGATTTGTCAGTGGGTGTGCTGGTAAAATGAGTCACGGTGATTTGTCAGTGGGTGTGCTGGTAAAAGAGTCACGGTGATTTGTCAGTGGGTGTGCTGGTAAAATGAGTCAGTGCTTTGTCAGTGGGTGTGCTGGTAAAAGAGTCATAGTGCTTTGTCAGTAGGTGTGCTGGTAAAAAGAGTCACAGTGATTTGTCAGTGGGTGTGCTGGTAAAAGAGTCACAGTGATTTGTCAGTAGGTGTGCTGGTAAAAGAGTCAGTGATTTGTCAGTGGGTGTGCTGGTAAAAGAGTCACAGTGATTTGTCAGTGGGTGTGCTGGTAAAAGAGTCACGGTGATTTGTCAGTGGGTGTGCTGGTAAAAGAGTCACAGTGATTTGTCAGTGGGTGTGCTGGTAAAAGAGTCACAGTGATTTGTCAGTGGGTGTGCTGGTAAAAGAGTCACAGTGATTTGTCAGTGGGTGTGCTGGTAAAAGAGTCACGGTGATTTGTCAGTGGGTGTGCTGGTAAAAGAGTCACAGTGATTTGTCAGTGGGTGTGCTGGTAAAAGAGTCACAGTGTTTTGTCAGTGGGTGTGCTGGTAAAAGAGTCATAGTGCTTTGTCAGTGGGTGTGCTGGTAAAAGAGTCACAGTGATTTGTCAGTGGGTGTGCTGGTAAAAAGAGTCACAGTGTTTTGTCAGTGGGTGTGCTGGTAAAAAGAGTCACAGTGTTTTGTCAGTGGATGTGCTGGTAAAAGAGTCACGGTGATTTGTCCGTGGGTGTGCTGGTAAAAGAGTCACGGTGATTTGTCAGTGGATGTGCTGGTAAAAGAGTCACGGTGATTTGTCAGTGGGTGTGCTGGTAAAAGAGTCACAGTGTTTTGTCAAGTGGGTGTGCTGGTAAAAGAGTCACGGTGATTTGTCAGTGGGTGTGCTGGTAAAAGAGTCACAGTGTTTTGTCAAGTGGGTGTGCTGGTAAAAGAGTCACGGTGATTTGTCAGTGGGTGTGCTGGTAAAAGAGTCACAGTGTTTTGTCAGTGGTTGTGCTTGTAAAAGAGTCACAGTGTTTTGTCAAGTGTGTGTGCTGGTAAAAGAGTCACGGTGATTTGTCAGTGGGTGTGCTGGTAAAAGAGTCACGGTGATTTGTCAGTGATTTGTCAGTGGGTGTGCTGTGTAAAAGAGTCACGGTGATTTGTCAGTGGGTGTGCTGGTAAAAGAGTCACGGTGATTTGTCAGTGGGTGTGCTGGTAAAAGAGTCACAGTGTTTTGTCAAGTGGGTGTGCTGGTAAAAGAGTCACGGTGATTTGTCAGAGGGTGTGCTGGTAAAAGAATCACAGTGTTTTGTCAGTGGGTGTGCTGGTAAAAGAGTCACAGTGTTTTGTCAAGTGGGTGTGCTGGTAAAAGAGTCACGGTGATTTGTCAGTGGGTGTGCTGGTAAAAGAGTCACGGTGATTTGTCAGTGGGTGTGCTGGTAAAAGAGTCACGGTGATTTGTCAGTGGGTGTGCTGGTAAAAGAGTCACGGTGATTTGTCAGTGGGTGTGCTGGTAAAAGAGTCACAGTGTTTTGTCAAGTGGGTGTGCTGGTAAAAGAGTCACGGTGATTTGTCAGTGGGTGTGCTGGTAAAAGAGTCACGGTGATTTGTCAGTGGGTGTGCTGGTAAAAGAGTCACAGTGTTTTGTCAGTGGGTGTGCTGGTAAAAGAGTCACGGTGATTTGTCAGTGGGTGTGCTGGTAAAAGAGTCACAGTGTTTTGTCAGTGGGTGTGCTGGTAAAAGAGTCACAGTGTTTTGTCAGTGGGTGTGCTGGTAAAAGAGTCACGGTGATTTGTCAGTGGGTGTGCTGGTAAAAAGTCACAGTGATTTGTCAGTGGGTGTGCCGGTACTTTCTAACTGGTTGAAAACACACTTAACTTCGTTACTTACGTTTCCAAGAGCGAACCACAAGTCATCGTGGAAAGCTGCCCCGTAGGCCAGGTTACTGAGGTACGCCTGTGGAAAGATAATAAGTAAACTGTACTGGTGGAGAAATCAGTAGAATATATAAGGATCAACGTGAACATGTTTGTGTGATTTCAATCAGAAGTCACAGTTAGTGAGTATACTACAAAGACGTCAGTTTGGGATGATATAAGTGACAGGATATGTGTCAGTTTGGGATGATATAAGTGACAGGATATGTGTCAGTTTGGGATGATATAAGTGACAGGATATGTGTCAGTTTGGGATGATATAAGTGACAGGATATGTGTCAGTTTGGGATGGTATAAGTGACAGGATATGTGTCAGTTTGGGATGATATAAGTGACAGGATATGTGTCAGTTTGGGATGGTATAAGTGACAGGATATGTGTCAGTTTGGGATGATATAAGTGACAGGATATGTGTCAGTTTGGGATGGTATAAGTGACAGGATATGTGTCAGTTTGGGATGGTATAAGTGACAGGATATGTGTCAGTTTGGGATGATATAAATGACAGGATATATGTCAATTTGGGATGGTATAAGTGACAGGATATGTGTCAGTTTGGGATGGTATAAGTGACAGGATATGTGTCAGTTTGGGATGGTATAAGTGACAGGATATGCGTCAGTTTGGGATGGTATAAGTGACAGGATATGTATCAGTTTGGGATGGTATAAGTGACAGGATATGTGTCAGTTTGGGATGGTATAAGTGACAGGATATGTATCAGTTTGGGATGGTATAAGTGACAGGATATGCGTCAGTTTGGGATGGTATAAGTGACAGGATATGTATCAGTTTGGGATGGTATAAGTGACAGGATATGTGTCAGTTTGGGATGATATAAGTGACAGGATATGTGTGGTCTGTAGCCCACTGTTGATAGCTTACCGTTAGTCCTCGTTTAAACGTGTCCTCACCAAGAAAGAACCGCATCATACGGATGATACTCGCTCCCTGTCAACAACACACAACGGACACAATATATATATATATAGTGAATTACTGGTGAATTGTTATAATTGAGATGCAGTAGACAAGGATGTGTCCCTCAAAACATATATATATATATATACATCTATTAGGAAATAAAACAACAGCATTACATTTGATAGATATAAGTCAAATCAAAAGAAATCTCGATTTCTTATTAGAAAATACGAATAGGTGATGACGTCACGAACCGGAATAAGATATACCAAAGTAAGAACTGAAAAGGTCAGCTTATAGGAGAACATAGTATCTATGCTGAGAGTCAATAAACAGGTTTATCTCAAGAACACAATTTACTATAGTCAGTGGCACAGGTCTCTATATTAGCTTTTACTGACAAACTACAGACAGGTTATATACAACAGATTTAAAATATTCCATAAAGTTTTTCCATTCTATTCAATAAGTTTCAAACAGACAGACACAATGGCGTATTTAGAGATTCTCCATCGATGATTACAAACCTTCCCATACGATATACGGTCAAATATTTCATTGATTTCGTCAGGATGTGATACTGGAACGTACACCGGATGTGACGTCACCAGTCCGTCAAAGTTGAAAACGCTCTGCACATCCTCAACAACAAACTGGTCAAACTGTTAGAAAACAACATTAAAAGCCGAGTGAAATAAAGCTGTAAACTGATACAAAAAGCTGAAATTATCATGTTTTAAAGTATAAATAAATAATTTACATCAGTATAACTGGTTAAACTCGGAATCGGGCAGTGCCTTTAAAGAGCCGAACTTACATGCCACAATGACATACTCGGTTGAAAGCATCATGGTCAGTGATTCAAGAGATGAGGAATTGGAGCGCTACAGCGAGTGATCGATCTCACTATTAATGTGACGTTTTTCGTGCACTGCTTGACTGATATTAATTCTGCCAATTTATATTAAATCATCGATATATTTAGTGAAATTTAGAAGCTATACAATCAAAGCGAAAATGCTGTCATAGTATTTTGATCAGTAATAAAGTTAGCTACGGGTAAAGGGCAGAAAACATGTCATTCATTTTGGGATGTTCCATGCCCTTTCACTTACATAATATTTTTTCTCAGATGGATTAAATCCTGGGACCTCTCGTCTTAGACAGGAACTAAGCGTGGTTTACATATGTTACCGGTATAGAGCTAATTAATATTAATACTAATGTTAGCTACGGGTAAAGTGCAGATCACCTATGCTCTATGACCTTTACTTTCGGAAGCTCCATGCCTTTCAGTTCCGAATGGATCATGTCCTGGGATCTCGTCTTTGATGTGAACTAAATGTGATCTTGCACATGTGACCAGTACAGAGGTTAGCTCTCCCTACACTTTATACGTTAACATATTCACGTCCTCTCTCCATCATTACGCACGCGCTCTAAATATTTACATATATCCATCACAACACGCTTAATTTTATAAAAATTAACATAAACTCGACATCCATCTATTTATCAAATTGTAATGCATTTTATATCCTTTAAATCTGGGTACGTTAAGCGCTATGGACTTTTACAGCCAAACGCAAATATTGGCAAATACATTAAGATTTATAACGATATCGTCAGCTCAGTCATATTTAAATCTGCTCAGCCCAAATCTCTGAATTGAATGCGATGAAAGTTTTGAAAACTGCACAACGGAATACCACTGCAAGAATTATACAGAAAACACTATTAAATCAGTGAATGCGCGATCGTGAACACTTAAGGGTGGACAAGTTAAATAATCTTCATGTCAAATGGGGGACAAACCATCTTCCAGTCTGTACGTGAACACTGAGGACAACAGTTATATAATCTATATATCTAGTGGGGGACAAACCATCTTCCAGTCTGTACGTGAACACTGAGGACAACAGTTATATAATCTATATATCTAGTGGGGGACAAACCATCTTCCAGTCTGTACGTGAACACTGAGGACAACAGTTATATAATCTATATATCTAGTGGGGGTACAAACCATTTTCCAGTCTGTACGTGAACACTGAGGACAACAGTTATATAATCTATATATCTAGTGGGGGACAAACCATCTTCCAGTCTGTACGTGAACACTGAGGACAACAGTTATATAATCTATATATCTAGTGGGGGACAAACCATCTTCCAGTCTGTACGTGAACACTGAGGACAACAGTTATATAATCTATATATCTAGTGGGGGACAAACCATCTTCCAGTCTGTACGTGAACACTGAGGACAACAGTTATATAATCTATATATCTAGTGGGGTACAAACCATTTTCCAGTCTGGATGAACATAATCCACCCCCATGTACTCCACAAAGCTGGCAAATCCTTCGTTGAGCCATAGATCGTCCCACCAGGACGGCGTGACAAGATTCCCGAACCACTGTAACACAAAGACATGTTGATATAGTATTTAAACAGGTAATTATCTGTTATTAGAACAACATATGTCAGGGGAAAATATGATATGATTAGTACGCAAAAATTATAAAAATTAGATGTTACAGATAATTGATACAACACTACTTACAAAGTGCAAGCAGGTTAAAGACAATCATAACACAATCAAGTTTGCAAACATTGTGGTTATAGGATCGGGCAACTCCTGGTAATTAACAGGCGGAGTCAATTCACGAGAGAAAACTACAGACCCTGATGAGTCAGTTCACGTGAGACAACAACAGACCCTGGTCGTTATCTGGTGAGTCAGTTCACGTGAGACAACAACAGACCCTGGTCGTCATCTGGTGAGTCAGTTCACGTGAGACAACAACTGACCCTGGTCGTTACCTGGTGAGACAGTTCACGTAAGACAACAACAGACCCTAGTCTTTACCTTGTGAGTCACTTCACGTGAGATAACTACAGATCCTGGTCGTTACCTTGTGAGTCAGTTCACGTGAGACAACTACAGATCCTGGTCGTTACCTTGTGAGACAGTATACCTCTGAAACAACAGCTACTCATATATACCTGGTGAGCAAGTTCGTGGGAGACAACTACAGCAACCCTTTGTTTGTTAACCTCTGATGACTCCATTGGGTCGTACAACATGGCTGTCTCTCGGTAGGTTATTAGTCCCCAGTTTTCCATGGCGCCAGCAGCGAAGTCAGGGATAGCGATCATGTCTGCGGTGTAGAAACAGTAAAGCACTCTTTACGATGATCTAACAGCGACATTTTGATAACGTCGTCTCATAACTAAACCGGGACAAGACCTATCTACACGACATACAACTTCACTGTAACAGACATCATGTGATTAAAACTTATCCGGAATTCCATTTAACAACACGACACACAACTTCACTGTAACAGACATCATGTGACTAAAACTTATCCGGAATTCCATTTAACAACACGACACACAACTTCACTGTAACAGACATCATGTGACTAAAACTTATCCGGAATTCCATTTACCAACACGACACACAACTTCACTGTAACAGACATCATGTGACTAAAACTTATCCGGAATTCCATTTACCAACACGACACACAACTTCACTGTAACAGACATCATGTGACTAAAACTTATCCGGAATTCCATCTATCTATACGACACACAACTTCACTGTAACAGACATTACATAACTTAAACGTATCTGGAGTCCGAGCTTTCAACTTTGTTGTTATCGAAGTACAGAGAATATGAAACATTAACTCTCTAAACAACTTTATCGAAAATCACTCCCTTCAAATAATTGAATACTGTATTCTGTTCGCTTCCTTTGCAAAATTTGGTAAAGAAATTTTCCACGCAGCCAGCCGATGACCAAATTTGGTAATCTCTCAGAAGTGTGTGTATCTCGCTTCTATATTACCGAATACTTATTACCGATCTGTGTTATATCAAAACCACACAATGTTAGAGTTATCTCCCATCAACCATGATGGATCAGTTACCCTGACATTTCCTCATTTCTTGTATAGTTACCCTGACATTTCCCCATTTCTTGTATAGTTACCCTGACATTATAACATTTCTTGTATAGTTACCCTGACATTTCTTGTATAGTTACCCTGACATTTCAACATATCTTGTATAGTTACCCTGACATTTAGAGTTACCCTGACATTTCTTGTATAGTTACCCTGACATTTCCACACTTCTTGTATAGTTACCCTGACATTTCAACATTTCTTGTATAGTTACCCTGACATTTCAACATTTCTTGTATAGTTACCCTGACATTTCAACACTTCTTGTATAGTTACCCTGACATTTCAACATTTCTTGTATAGTTACCCTGACATTTCAACATTTCTTGTATAGTTACCCTGACATTTCTTGTATAGTTACCCTGACATTTCTTGTATAGTTACCCTGACATTTCAACATTTCTTGTATAGTTACCCTGACATTTCAACATTTCTTGTATAGTAACCCGGACATTATAACATTTCTTGTATAGTTACCCTGACATTTCAACATTTCTTGTATAGTTACCCTGACATTATAACATTTCTTGTATAGTTACCCTGACATTTCAACACTTCTTGTATAGTTACCCTGACATTTGAACATTTCTTGTATAGTTACCCTGACATTTGAACATTTCTTGTATAGTTACCCTGACATTTCAACATATCTTGTATAGTTACCCTGACATTTCAACATATCTTGTATAGTTACCCTGACATTTCAACATTTCTTGTATAGTAAACCTGACATTTCAACATTTCTTGTATAGTTACCCTGACATTTCTTGTATAGTTACCCTGACATTATAACATTTCTTGTATAGTTACCCTGACATTTCCACACTTCTTGTATAGTTACCCTGACATATCTTGTATAGTTACCCTGACATATCTTGTATAGTTACCCTGACATTTCTTGTATAGTTACCCTGACATTTCTTTTATAGTTACCCTGACATATCTTGTATAGTTACCCTGACATTTCAACATTTCTTGTATAGTTACCCTGACATTTCAACATATCTTGTATAGTTACCCTGACATTTCCACACTTCTTGTATAGTTACCCTGACATTTCCACACTTCTTGTATAGTTACCCTGACATTTCAACATTTCTTGTATAGTTACCCTGACATTTCAACATTTCTTGTATAGTTACCCTGACATTTCTTGTATAGTTACCCTGACATATCTTGTATAGTTACCCTGACATTTCTTGTATAGTTACCCTGACATTTCCACATTTCTTGTATAGTAAACCTGACATTTCAACATTTCTTGTATAGTTACCCTGACATTTCTTGTATAGTTACCCTGACATTTCTTGTATAGTTACCCTGACATTTCTAGGTATAGTTACCCTGACATTTCTTGTATACCTACCCTGACATTTCTTGTATAGTTACCCTGACATTTAACATTTCTTGTCCATAGTTACCCTGACATTTCATAGTTACCCTGACATTCATACCCTGACATTTCTGACCACATTCTTGTATAGTTACCCTGACATTTCTTGTATAGTTACCCTGACATTTCTTGTATAGTTACCCTGACATTTCTTGTATAGTTACCCTGACATTTCAACATTTCTTGTATAGTTACCCTGACATTTCTTGTATAGTTACCCTGACATTTCTTGTATAGTTACCCTGACATTTCTTGTATAGTTACCCTGACATTTCAACATATCTTGTATAGTTACCCTGACATTTCAACATTTCTTGTATAGTTACCCTGACATTTCCACACTTCTTGTATAGTTACCCTGACATACATTTCTTGTATAGTTGTCCCTGACATTTCTTGTATAGTTACCATGACATTTACTTGTAGGTTACCCTGACATTTCAACATACATCTTGTATAGTTACCCTGACATTTCAACATAGGTCTTGTATAGTTACCCTGACATTTCAGGTTCTTGTATAGTTACCCTGACATTTCCACACTTCTTGTATAGTTACCCTACATTTGTTGTATAGTACATACTTAGGTACAGTTACCATGACTTGATAGTTCCTTACATACCTAGGTAGGATCTCCTGTCCATACATACCTAGGTAGTTCTGTCCATACATACGTAAGTTATGACATTTCTTTTGAATAGTTACCCTGACATCTCACATATTTTATACCCTGACATAATTGTATAGTTACCCTGACATTTCAACATATTTTCATAGTTACCCTGACATTTCAACATTTCTTGTATAGTTACCCTGACATTTCAACATTTCTTGTATAGTTACCCTGACATTTGTTAGTCACATAGTTAGTCATTGACATTTCTTGCCTAAAGTTGCCTGACATTTCAACATTTCTTGTCATAGTCACCCTGACAGTAACTGATTTCTTGTATAGTTACCCTGACATTTTTTCTTGTATAGTTACCATGACGTTTCTTGTCATTGTCATGTATTAAAGCTATATCGTGTGGCCCCATGAACATTGTATATGTCATTAACATACCCACCTTGTGATACAGGAGAGTGACATTGCTACATCGGCCTTCTCATTAGTTTGCACTATGTAAGGGGAATGAAATTAATGACGGATTCGTCTCCGATTACAAATCTACTACTAAATTCAGCCCCTCCATAATAAGATCTCGTGAAATTTGGTCATCAAATCAAACTTTCACGAATTCATCAACCTCAGTAACTGTACATTGGTTATTAAAACTTATAGAGTCATGTCAATTCTAATTCCGGTTAACGTGTGAGAATTTTTGTTTTCGTTCCGTTTTTTTTTCTGAGGAGTAATTTGGATCAAACCTCAATGTTGTTACTAAGAAAACTACACGCGTTGAATCATAAATGAATATTTCTTTCTGTTTGGGGTTGGAAGTTTATTTTTCTGTGAAAAATGGACAAATCGTTCTCCGGGAATTACGACGAGTATGATTCAACATGGTTTCTTGCGAAAATCCATCTATGTTTGTGGGACATTAAATTAGTAGAAGTATTATCAAAGTGGTATTAAAGACCTTTCTATACCTGAGAATGTATGCCTTAAGTTTCTTGTAACTAATCAACGACTGCCGTAACTTTCGGATTTAGTTTCACTCTAGAAAAAGTAATAGCAGGTGTTAACACCATAAAAAACTCATTTCTAATAGATATTACATTTACGACCACGGAACTTTTCAAATTACAAATTATCGTCTAAGTAATTTACTTAATTTAATGTGTTTTGGTACATTTTGTAAATTAGCTGTTGGTCTAGATATAGAAGGTTGAGAAGGGGGGAAATGCTAACCTGGGGTTCAAGTGAGGGGTCCTAATGTTAACACCAGTGGGGTACAGGTGATGGGTATTAATGTTAAGGCCGGTGGGGTACAGATGAGGGTTACTAATGTTAACACCAGTGGGGTACAGGTGAGGGGTATTAATGTTAAGGCCTATGGGGTACAGATGAGGGTTACTAATGTTAACACCAGTGGGGTACAGGTGATGGGTATTAATGTTAAGGCCGGTGGGGTACAGATGAGGGTTACTAATGTTAACACCAGTGGGGTACAGGTGAGGGGTATTAATGTTAAGGCCTATGGGGTACAGATGAGGGTTACTAATGTTAACACCAGTGAGGTACAGGTGAGGGGTATTAATGTTAAGGCCTATGGGGTACAGATGAGGGTTACTAATGTTAACACCAGTGAGGTACAGGTGAGGGGTATTAATGTTAAGGCCGGTGGGGTACAGATGAGGGTTACTAATGTTAACACCAGTGAGGTACAGGTGAGGGGTATTAATGTTAAGGCCTATGGGGTACAGATGAGGGTTACTAATGTTAACACCAGTGAGGTACAGGTGAGGGGTATTAATGTTAAGGCCGGTGGGGTACAGATGAGGGTTACTAATGTTAACACCAGTGGGTACAGGTGAGGGGTATTAATGTTAAGGCCTATGGGGTACAGATGAGGGTTACTAATGTTAACACCAGTGAGGTACAGGTGAGGGGTATTAATGTTAAGGCCGGTGGGGTACAGATGAGGGTTACTAATGTTAACACCAGTGGGGTACAGGTGAGGGGTATTAATGTTAAGGCCTATGGGGTACAGATGAGGGTTACTAATGTTAACACCAGTGAGGTACAGGTGAGGGGTATTAATGTTAAGGCCGGTGGGGTACAGATGAGGGTTACTAATGTTAACACCAGTGGGTACAGGTGAGGGGTATTAATGTTAAGGCCTATGGGGTACAGATGAGGGTTACTAATGTTAACACCAGTGAGGTACAGGTGAGGGGTATTAATGTTAAGGCCGGTGGGGTACAGATGAGGGTTACTAATGTTAACACCAGTGGGGTACAGGTGAGGGGTATTAATGTTAAGGCCTATGGGGTACAGATGAGGGTTACTAATGTTAACACCAGTGAGGTACAGGTGAGGGGTATTAATGTTAAGGCCGGTGGGGTACAGATGAGGGTTACTAATGTTAACACCAGTGGGGTACAGGTGAGGGGTATTAATGTTAACACCAGTGGGGTACAGGTGTGGGGTACTAATGTTAACACCAGTGGGGTACAGGTGTGGGGTATTAATGTTAACACCAGTGGGGTACAGGTGTGGGGTACTAATGTTAACACCAGTGGGGTACAGGTGAGGAGTACTAATGTTAACACCAGTGGGGTACAGGTGTGGGGTACTAATGTTAACACCAGTGGGGTACAGGTGTGGGGTACTAATGTTAACACCAGTGGGGTACAGGTGAGGGGTACTAATGTTAACACCAGTGGGGTACAGGTGAGGGGTATTAATGTTAACACCAGTGGGGTACAGATGAGGGGTATTAATGTTAACACAAGTGGGGTACAGGTGAGGGGTATTAATGTTAACACCAGTGGGGTACAGGTGAGGGGTATTAATGTTAACACCAGTGGGGTACAGGTGAGGGGTATTAATGTTAACACCAGTGGGGTACAGGTGAGGGGTATTAATGTTAACACCAGTGGGGTACAGATGAGGGGTATTAATGTTAACACCAGTGGGGTACAGATGAGGGTTACTAATGTTAACACCAGTGGGGTACAGGTGAGGGGTATTAATGTTAACACCAGTGGGGTACAGGTGAGGGGTATTAATGTTAACACCAGTGGGGTACAGGTGATGGGTATTAATGTTAACACCAGTGGGGTACAGGTGAGGGGTATTAATGTTAACACCAGTGGGGTACAGGTGAGGGGTATTAATGTTAACACCAGTGGGGTACAGGTGAGGGGTATTAATGTTAACACCAGTGGGGTACAGGTGAGGGGTATTAATGTTAACACCAGTGGGGTACAGATGAGGGGTATTAATGTTAACACCAGTGGGGTACAGATGAGGGTTACTAATGTTAACACCAGTGGGGTACAGGTGAGGGGTATTAATGTTAACACCAGTGGGGTACAGGTGAGGGGTATTAATGTTAACACCAGTGGGGTACAGGTGATGGGTATTAATGTTAACACCAGTGGGGTACAGGTGAGGGGTATTAATGTTAACACCAGTGGGGTACAGGTGAGGGGTATTAATGTTAACACCAGTGGGGTACAGGTGAGGGGTATTAATGTTAACACCAGTGGGGTACAGGTGAGGGGTATTAATGTTAAGGCCGGTGGGGTACAGGTGAGGGGTACTAATGTTAACACCAGTGGGGTACAGGTGAGGGGTCCTAATTTTACAACCAGTGGCGTATAGGTGATAGCGAAAGTCTTTCCTTAGTATGATCATCCAAAGTCAACATTCCAAGCATCACAAATAGAAATAAAAGCTTATTTCTGTACTTAGACCATATCGTAAAATTCTTGTGTATCAACTTTTAATAAGACTTTACGGAGTAAACAATGTATGATTAACACATCTGTTATCAAAATATTGGAATGCTTCCGGTTTACTTTGTTATAAAGCTCCCGGAAATAACGTTTATCTTAACTTACACGTAAAGACTGACTGCTGAAGACGGCAGGCCGATTACATACAGATCACATTTTCAATTTTAACCTCGAACTAGATATGCGATTTAACACGTCTTAAAGGATTTGGCCTCGACTAACCACTCTGTCTCTGTATATCCCTGATTGACAATCCAATTAACACGGCGTTCAAATGAATGCAAAACATAAGGCACAATTGATGCTTACAATTAGATAAAGAAATTAGTGTGTACTTTTCATTAGCTAGCAGCCTTGTTCACGCCGCTCATAGCCCCTATAGACCATCAAGCCATGATTCTTTTTCATTAAAGGAAACACCAATTTCTACGGGAATAGTACACACGGAAAAAGTACAATTGTTTAAAATTTCATTAGTGTTCATAAGACATACAACGTTTTGCTAATAAGGAGTAAATGTTGTGGTAGTCACGTGATCCACGAGTGTCGTGAGGTCGGTAGAAACAGCACTCATCGTCTATTGATAACGCACTAAAGGATGTCTGACACCCGTAACATTGTTAAATTCATTGTGATTGGTTTAGACTTACCATAACATTGTCAAATTCATTGTGATTGGTTGAGACTTACTGTTACATTGTCACGTCCCTTGTGATTGGTTGAGACTTACCGTTACATTGTCACGTTCCATGTGATTGGCTGAGACTTTCTGTTACATTGTCACGTCCCTTGTGATTGGTTGAGACTTACCGTAACATTGTTATATTCTTTGTGATTGGTTGAGACTTCCTGTTACATTGCCACGTCCCTTGTGATTGGTTGAGACTTACTGTTACATTGTCACGTCCCTTGTGATTGGTTGAGACCAGCCGTTACGTTCTATTATTCCTTGTGATAATTCGAGACTCACCATTACATTGTTTCGCGTCAGATTACTGGTTTTCTCGAAGTCGGATACAATGAAGGCCAAGAGATATGTCGACATTGCCGGTGTTGTATCGAACACGTCGGCGAACCAGCCATCGGCTCTGTAATGTAAATCGTCAGAAAATCACTTTTCCCCTCTAAATTTTCATTCAATAATTAGAGCAAAAATCACATCAAACTCTATATAAAACAATCAATCCTCAAATTTGTAAATATCGTTTTAACGTCGAGTGAAAGCGAGGTTTTTACAACGTTAAAGACTTTTCACGAAAACATACCGAACTACTGAAATAACCTTGGTTTTCTCAACGTTTAATTCTAATAATGATAGGATTAATTAAAAGACTAAGACGCAAAAACTTTCTTCACAAAAGACGTTCTATGTAGACCGAGACATCCACACTTCTCTTACACCGTTCTGTGTATACCGAGACATCCACACTTCTCTTACACCGTTCTATGTAGACCGAGACATCCACACTTCTCTTACAGCGTTCTATGTGTACCGAGACATCCACACTTCTCTTACAGCGTTCTGTGTATACCGAGACATCCACACTTCTCTTACAGCGTTCTGTGTATACAGGGACATCCACACTTCTCTTACAGCGTTCTATGTATACCGGGACATCCACATTTCTCTTACAGCGTTCTGTGTATACCGAGACATCCACACTTCTCTTACAGCGTTCTGTGTATACCGAGACATCCACACTTCTCTTACAGCGTTCTGTGTATACCGGGACATCCACACTTCTCTTACAGCGTTCTATGTAGACCGAGACATCCACACTTCTCTTACAGCGTTCTGTGTATACCGAGACATCCACACTTCTCTTACAGCCACACTTCTCTTACAGCGTTCTGTGACATCCACATACCGTTCTGTGAGACATCCACACTTCTCTTACAGCGTTCTGTGTATACCGAGACATCCACACTTCTCTTACAGCGTTCTATGTATACCGAGACATCCACACTTCTCTTACAGCGTTCTGTGTATACCAGGACATCCACACTTCTCTTACAGCGTTCTGTGTATACCGAGACATCCACACTTCTCTTACAGCGTTCTATGTATACCGGGACATCCACACTTCTCTTACAGCGTTCTGTGTATACCGGGACATCCACACTTCTCTTACAGCGTTCTATGTGTACACCGAGACATCCACACTTCTCTTACAGCGTTCTGTGTATACCGAGACATCCACACTTCTCTTACAGCGTTTTGTGTATACAGGGACATCCACACTTCTCTTACAGCGTTCTATGTATACCGGGACATCCACACTTCTCTTACAGCGTTCTGTGTATACCGGGACATCCACACTTCTCTTACAGCGTTCTATGTGTACACCGAGACATCCACACTTCTCTTACAGCGTTCTGTGTATACCGAGACATCCACACTTCTCTTACAGCGTTCTGTGTATACAGGGACATCCACACTTCTCTTACAGCGTTCTGTGTATACAGGGACATCCACACTTCTCTTACAGCGTTCTGTGTATACAGGGACATCCACACTTCTCTTACAGCGTTCTGTGTATACCGAGACATCCACACTTCTCGTACAGCGTTCTGTGTATACAGGGACATCCACACTTCTCTTACAGCGTTCTGTGTATACCGGGACATCCACACTTCTCTTACAGCGTTCTATGTAGACCGAGACATCCACACTTCTCTTACAGCGTTCTATGTATACCGGGACATCCACACTTCTCTTACAGCGTTCTATGTATACCGGGACATCCACACTTCTCTTACAGCGTTCTGTGTATACCGGGACATCCACACTTCTCTTACAGCGTTCTGTGTATACCGGGACATCCACACTTCTCTTACAGCGTTCTGTGTATACCGGGACATCCACACTTCTCTTACACCGTTCTGTGTATACCGAGACATCAACACTTCTCTTACAGCGTTCTGTGTATACCGCGACATACACACTTCTCTTACACCGTTCTGTGTATACCGAGACATCCACACTTCTCTTACAGCGTTCTATGTGTACCGAGACATCCACACTTCTCTTACAGCGTTCTGTGTATACCGGGACATCCACACTTCTCTTACAGCGTTCTGTGTATACCGAGACATCCATACCTCTCTTACAGCGTTCTGTGTATACCGAGACATCCACACTTCTCTTACAGCGTTCTGTGTATACCGAGACATCCACACTTCTCTTACAGCGTTCTGTGTATACCGAGACATCCACACTTCTCTTACAGCGTTCTGTGTATACAGGGACATCCACACTTCTCTTACAGCGTTCTGTGTATACCGGGACATCCACACTTCTCTTACAGCGTTCTGTGTATACCGAGACATCCACACTTCTCTTACAGCGTTCTATGTGTACCGGGACATCCACACTTCTCTTACAGCGTTCTATGTGTACCGGGACATCCACACCTCTCTTACAGCGTTCTGTGTATACCGGGACATCCACACTTCTCTTACAGCGTTCTGTGTATACCGAGACATCCACACTTCTCTTACAGCGTTCTATGTGTACCGGGACATCCACACTTCTCTTACAGCGTTCTATGTGTACCGGGACATCCACACTTCTCTTACAGCGTTCTGTGTATACCGAGACATCCACACTTCTCTTACAGCGTTCTATGTGTACCGAGACATCCACACTTCTCTTACAGCGTTCTATGTGTACCGGGACATCCACACCTCTCTTACAGCGTTCTGTGTATACCGAGACATCCACACTTCTCTTACAGCGTTCTGTGTATACCGAGACATCCATACCTCTCTTACAGCGTTCTGTGTATACCGGGACATCCACACTTCTCTTACAGCGTTCTATGTGTACCGGGACATCCACACTTCTCTTACAGCGTTCTGTGTATACCGAGACATCCACACTTCTCTTACAGCGTTCTGTGTATACCGGGACATCCACACTTCTCTTACACCGTTCTGTGTATACCGGGACATCCACACTTCTCTTACAGCGTTCTATGTGTACCGGGACATCCACACCTCTCTTACAGCGTTCTGTGTATACCGGGACATCCACACTTCTCTTACAGCGTTCTATGTGTACCGGGACATCCACACCTCTCTTACAGCGTTCAGTGTATACCGAGACATCCACACTTCTCTTACAGCGTTCTGTGTATACCGGGACATCCACACTTCTCTTACACCGTTCTGTGTATACCGGGACATCCACACTTCTCTTACACCGTTCTGTGTATACCGGGACATCCACACTTCTCTTACACCGTTCTGTGTATACCGAGACATCCATACCTCTCTTACACCGTTCTGTGTATACAGAGACATCCATACCTCTCTTACACCGTTCTGTGTATACCGGGACATCCATATAAACAAGTTTTGCCAATGCGCGGTTTATTTAGAGTACATTAATCTTTTATGTTATGGATGACAAACACGGAAACATAATTTAAACTGATCCTTAAATACATGGGACCATCTTGTATCCCGTCCGTGTCATTAAACATACATAGCTATTGATGGAGAGTTCTGTATGGTACTAGTATGACCTCGTTTGACCTCGTTTCCTATTCTCAGCAGATACAGGACCGATCCTTTCTTATACCGGTATAACCTCTTTCCCTTTCTCTACAGATAGAGCCTCAATCCCTCTTCCTACAGATAAAACCCCTTTCCTTCCTCCTACATATACGTCGTCATTCCCTTCTACAGATACGACCTCTTTCCCTCCTTCTACAGAGACAACCTTCTTCCCTCCTCCTGCAGATACAAACAAATTCCCTCCTCCTGCATATACGTCCTCGTTCCCTTCTACAGTTACAACCTCTTTCCCTCCTTCTACAGATATAATCTCTTTCCCTTCTTCTACCGATACAACCTCTTTCCCTTCTTCTATAGGTACAACCTTATTTCCGTCTCCTGCAGATAAACCTCTTTCCCTCCTCCTATATATACAACTTCTTTCCCTCCACTTACTGACCCAACTTCTTTCAAATGCAGCCCTGTTTCCTCTGCCTAAAGTACAACCTCGTTCCCTCCACCAACAAATAAGCCTCGTTCTCGCCTATCAGATACCGCCGCTACAATCTCGTTTCCTTCCATCAGATACTACAGATACAGCCTCGTTCCCGCCTATTTGATAGCAAAGATATATACTTCTTTCACAGTCTTATTCCTTATTATTAAATACAACAAGTACAGCTTCATTTATACCTGTTAAATTCTACGTTGTACAGATAGAGCCTCGCTCCCATCTGTTGGATACTATCGATACAGCCTCGTTCCCTTCTAGTTCCTGTCGGGTAAATTTACCCCTCTGTACCTCAAATTTCGGTTGATTATCACGCTCTCGTTCGTTAATTACTGACACGCTATCTGATCATTGTCTCTAATTTTCTCGAATCAAGGGAGATAATGACACCTCTGTCACGTTAAACTATCGCCAATCAAGAGAAAATCAATTTCCGTACTTGGAGCAATGTTAACGGTGTCCGGCAGTAGCTGACACTATAACAGGACGACACACGGCCGCATCACGCGTACTGTCACTGTCACATTCGTGTATTGTGGGCCAGCATTATATAAACTATTTACACGGGCTCCCTTGAGACATCACGGATATTGTAAATAATTATGTAAATACCAATAGATCTGTAAATGTCAACAGATCCCTTGTGAATAACGATGAATTATTGCTATGGTTACTGTACCTTAAACATACTTACAAAAACACACATATAGGCGTTATTCAATATGATGACGTTTGTATTTCGCATTGGTGACCTTTGAAGCGGATCAAGGTCAAGTGAATTTTAACGATTTTGCTGAGGGAAAACCTCAACCACCTGCAAGAATCACTACAATTCATCCTTCTCTTTGTTTAAATATTTACGTCCACACATGCCAACATTCAAACGTGATAAACGACGGACAGATGGACGTGCGAACACAGGAGGTACAAAGGATTAGCAATATGTTCAAAGGTCTTTCATGCCATGCCGAAAATCTCAACCTCAGTTCATTATATCATATTTAAATTCAATTATATATCCATGCACAGAATATCGTAATTGCATTGAATTGTGCAACATGTGTCACAGAGTCATCCCCTACATAGATACAAACAATGATACACACGGACGGACAGGACGTACATATAACAACATGTGTCACAGAGTCACCCCCTACATAGATACAAACAATGATTCTCACGGACGGACAGGACGTACATATAACAACATGTGTCACAGAGTCATCCCTATATAGATACAAACAACATATAACAACATGTGTCACGTCTCCCCTTACATAGACACAAACAACACACAGGGACAGGACGTACATATAACAACATGTGTCACAGAGTCATCCCCTACATAGATACAAACAATGATACTCACGGACGGACAGGACGTACATATAACAACATGTGTCACAGAGTCACCCCCTACATAGATACAAACAATGATACTCACGGACGGACAGGATGTACATATAACAACAGGTGTCACAGAGTCACCCCCTACATAGATACAAACAATGATTCACACGGACGGACAGGATGTACATATAACAACATGTGTCACAGAGTCATCCCCTATATAGATACAAACAAAGATATTCAAGGATGGACAGGACGTACATATAACAACATGTGTCACAGAGTCATCCCCTACATAGATACAAACAATGATACTCACAGACGGACAGGACGGACATATAACAACGTGTGTCACAGAGTCTCCCCCTACATAGACACAAACAACACACAGGGACAGGACGTACATATAACAACATGTGTCACAGAGTCATCCCCTACATAGATACAAACAACACACAGAGACAGGACGTACAAACAAGACAAATTGGCGTTACAAAGTTTTATATCTTATGCAGTATCTCTATATCAATACACAGGGGAGGGACCACGTCTACCAATACCGAGACACAAAACCATTTTGGTTATGATGACGAGATTACATCGTCGTCATGTAGGAGGATGACGTGGCTGCGACATGTTGCCTAAACATTGCATTTACGATTGTTTTGGAATTTCTTGATTCTTTATCAAATGATTGCTAGATTTGGATCCTCGCTGCCTGTGATTGTTGTAGACAAGTAGTGAGGTATACAGAGCCTTGTGCATAAAATGAAAGGAAACGTAAATACACGTATATAATACTCCGGCCCAAAATTCAACAAAAAAACATTCAATGGCGAAAATGTATAGCAAATACAATTTAAACATTAAACTATGACCTTGACCCTCTGACCCCTACAATTTATTTCGTATCCAAGCTGACCGAAGAGTCTATTACACTTGGGAAAAAATGTTTATAGTTTTTGAACTAGCGACTACAGGTTTGGGGATTGGGAGGGGGAGTGGCAGTTCATATTTCAAATTCTAATCACTCGTTTATTGCCTAATGGTTGGAATCGTGAGCACAAACATTAATTAAAATTTATATCTTGTTAAGGTCAAATTGTAAAGGTCAAGGTCACTATCTTACCTTTCTTCTGAATATTTGAGTGGAGTATTACATATGGCTTTTACAGATCCTTTTCGCATTATAGTAATGTCAAAGCGGGCTTTCAAAGCGGGCTCGTCGAAACATGGAATGACATTTCGAGCAGCCACTGGGGCTAGGAAGGTGGCGCACAGGTATCTGAAAAGCACAAAACGGGCTATCAGGAGAGTACACACAAGGGAGATTACTCCATGGTCTCTCCTGTTAAGGATGTCAGGTCATCTGCTGGATAGTCTGGGGCAAAAGGTTTTAAGCTAAAATGCAACAATTGTTAGTGGGGTAGCGTTAAAAAACAGCCCATACAGAGGTCGGTAACGTAACAAACAGCAATCGAAACCTCTCGCATCTTGTGTATTAGATGGCCAAGATTGCAGAGGTGTTCCGATTCATTCATGGCGCATTCTTCATCAATCTCACCTATTCTCTGTCGTGATAATTGGCATATTTGATAGTGATACCATGTGACTTTTTCTGACCAATACGATGTCAAATCTGGCTTTGATCCCGGGCTCATCAAAACACGGAAATGTCTTCCTGGCATCAGTTGGCTGGAACTGAGTCGTGGCTATGTACCTGAAACACAAGCTTGGTTATTCGGACAGAAAACGGGGGGACCAATATGGATATAAATGTCCGAAGTGAGTTACTGTCACTAGGGAGGGAGTCTATAATAAGAATACACATCGCATTGTATATTCTATTTCGCACGGACAACAGATCCTTTTCTGAAACTATGAAACTATACGACGACTGATATGTATCATATACTTTATGAAAAACATTATCAGTTATTTGCACATGGATGTCCTTGTGAAATAAGCAGAATGTTATCAGCCATTCCTAAATCAGGTGAAAATTTCGGTCATTCGGTGAAGTGATGGAGGTATCAGCAGGACAGTATTGTGCCTAAGGAAATCGTTTGTATATAAAAATAAAGCAGCAGTATAGGGTTCTGTTAACCTGTACAGAAGGTTTCTCACTGGATTCATGTTGATAAATTGTAGATCAAAATTCATCCCGCCATCAATATACTAATAGAGAATAGAAAAGATATTGATTACTTAATAGATATTATGTAAATATTTAATTACTGACATATTTAACAACCCGACAAATGTGTATATCAGTAGTATACTGTACATAATGTCAACAGCACATCTCTGTACCAGATGTGTACCTTACAATGTTATAACACCAACACATCTCTGTACCAGATGTGTACCTTACAATGTTATAACACCAACACATCTCTGTACCAGATGTGTACCTTACAATGTTATAACACCAACACATCTCTGTACCAGACGTGTACCTTACAATGTTATAACACCAAACACATCTCTGTACCAGACGTGTACCTTACAATGTTATAACACCAAACACATCTCTGTACCAGACGTGTACCTTACAATGTTATAACACCAAACACATCTCTGTACCAGACATGTACCTTACAATGTTATAACACCAAACACATCTCTGTACCAGACGTGTACCTTACAATGTTATAACACCAAACACCTCTCTGTACCAGACGTGTACCTTACACTATGGTAACATAATTATTGATAAATACTTATTAAATCATTGGTTTAATGTCACTTTTTAATATGAAATTAACATTTTTTCAAATTTTCAAAATTCTGGTTGCTATGGTAACATAATTATTGATAAATACTTATTAAATCATTGGTTTAATGTCATTTATGAATGTTCCACATATATTTTATTTCTTTGTTATGTTGACTAAGTTTATAGATGGAACTATATAATGTTTGTAGTTACGTTATGTGTGAGCGGATGCTAACCGTTTGGAAGGAGGTGATAGGGTCTAGGGATGCAGTAATTTGGTGCTATTTTTAGCACGCTATATAAGTAAAGGGCACTGACCACCACTGGTCAGAGACCTTTCGGACATCATGGAGGAACAAGGTCAGTAGCATCTTTTATTTATATGACTTGCTGTCAAAGTTTATTGTCATTTAAATTCCTTTTCCCACCTCCTCCCCCTGCGGTCCTCCCGTCATCTTCATTAATTGTGGTACTTATTTTGTCTGTTGGTTACATAATAACTACCTTGTAGTTGTTGCATACTTTTTGACTTTGTTATGGCCTACTTTTTATTTTCCTATAGTGGTTAAAGAAATAATTCTTATTTGCTTATCTTATGACTTCGTCGTGAACTGAAGTTTCTTTATTACATGTTGTATATCTCTTTAGATATATCTTAAATACTCAATAAAGGGGTTATTTTCCGTCATTCAAGGCTAGTTGCTTGTCTGTTTTTTTTTCCCATTTCATTGTTTCATTTAACAAACGCGTTTTGGTGTACATATGTCGAGGGGCGTTTTTCTGACTCCCATCTTAGACTTGTTTAATGTTTTTTCATAACATTGTTAACAAAATAATTTGATATATGATGTACATTCAGGAGAATTTACATATGTACATTTATATATATATATACGTCGTTAATAAAAACGGCCAATTTCAATTCCTATTGAGTCCTTGTTGTTTATTTACAAGTCTAACTAGCTTGCCATTGTAGCTGTTCATAGTGGAATCATTTGTAAAACATGTTATTTGTCAAAAGAATTAGAAAGTTTGTATTCCAATGATTCTAAATATATAGGGGTTGCTTACCAAAAAGTTGGCTGGAAAAGAGTGTAAATTCATGTTGAAGCAAAATGACATTTTTTCTTAAGTATCATTAAAAATTCAGGGGTTAATGTTTTTCTCGGCTGAGAATCGTTTGAAAAATTGTCATCGTACTGTTAACAAAAAAGGATACATTTCAAAAGTCTGCAAAATGAATGAATTAACTAATATAAAAAAAGACTTTCACTAAAGGTACTGATTCAGAATAGGCTGGAGTTATGTGTACAAGGATAAAATAAAATGAGAAGTTAACGGACTTAATGAGTCACAAATGTACATTCTATAGCACGTCCCGAGCCGTCCTACTCCGACCGTCCCGAGCCATTCTACGCTAACCAGTTCGTCCCGAGCCATTATACACTAACCAGTCCGTCCCGAGCAATTCTACACTAACCGGTCCGTTCCGGCCATTCTACTCTAGCAAGTTCGTCCCGAGCCATTATACACTAACCAGTCCGTCCCGAGCCATTCTACACTAACCAGTCCGTCCCGAGCAATTCTACGCTAACCAGTCCGTCCCGAGCCATTCTACACTAACCAGTCCGTCCCGAGCCATTCTACGCTAACCATTCCGTCCTGAGCTATTCTACACTAACCATTCCGTCCCGAGCCATTCTACGCTAACCAGTCCGTCCCTAGCCATTTTACACTAACCAGTCCGTCCCGAGCCATTATACACTAACCAGTCCGTCCTGATCGTTCTACACTAACCACTCCGTCCCGAGCCATTCTACTCTGACCAGACCGTCTCGAGTTAGTCCACTTTAACAAGTTTTCCTCGAGTCGTTCTACACTAACCAGTCCGTCCCGAGCCATCATACACTAACCAGTCCGTCCCCGGCCGTTCTACTCCAATCAGTTTGTCCCAAGCCGTTCTACTCCGACCAGTCGGAGCCGAGCCAATCTACTCTGACCAGACCGTCCCGAGCTAGTTTACTAAAACCTGTTTTCCCGAGTTGTTCTACTCTGACCAGTCCGTCACGGACCGTTCTACACTAAACAGTCCGTCCTAAGCTGTTCTACACTAACCAGTTCGTCCCGAGCCGTTCTACTCCGACCAGTCTGTGCCGAACCGTTCTTTCCTGTCCAATCCCGTCCCGAGTCGTTCTAATCTGACCAGTTGGGTTTGCGGGAACGAAAATGACAACCACGAAGAAGCCGATACTAAACCATATAAGACGACTCTGATATGTTGTGCCTATGGCGGGAGTTTGCCCATAACATGTATGTGTGTCATTGGGACTTTAGATCAATCCATTTATACAGTTTAACTTAATAATGACCATGGGGTGGAGTTATTTACTAAGTTCAATTGTAGCTGACGGTTACTTACACAGATTCGTTGCCCCTTTTGTACGAACTCAGATACAGTCCGTGCAAGTCATCTTTCAATGGCCCCACGAAAGCCAGAGCTAGATGATAAAACTTAGTCGGTACAAGATCCCTGCTGAGGTGGACGATCAAAAACTGTCGTTCCGTGTCCAACTCGAAGCTCGTCATTGATAGCGCAGGTTCAGTCTGGTCTTCCGCTGTAACTTGTATACTTCCGGCGGTGATATTGAGAAGGTTGATATGTACGGTAATGTTCCGAGTGGCTTGTACACATTCCATTCGTATATCTACGTCTCCGTCAAAGGTGAAGGTCGACGGGTCGTCCGCGTACATGTTCGGTTTCAATTCGACTTTATACAGTTCAGGTTTCAGGGAAGTGGGCAGCCGTACATCAACAGTCTGAGAGGGCGCTTCCGTTGTGACAGATGGCGCCATTGTCGTATCTGGAGGTGACGTCACAGCCGGACATGCGGTACCTGTAATGATGAAAAAGAATGATCATAACAACCCAGCAAATTTAAAACCTAGGTAATTCACTGTGATGGCGGAGAGCCTCGCTTTGACGCCATTTCGTGACACGCCACAAATCCCTTTAGTAATGGACGCCATGTACATCCCAAGGAAAAGAATGACATTGTCTCAGAAATGCTATTATTATGAAAAAAAAACATATAAATATCACAGATTTGAATTAACAAAATGCAATAAAGCTTGCATTAGGAAATATATTTCATTAGTACAACATTAATACATTACAACAAAGGAACTAATGTGTTATATTATTTAAAAAGTTTAAGGTGAAATGGAATTGAAAAAATAAATTAATTAAGTTTCATTATAGTACTTTTGTAGACTTTCACGTGCCTGCGTCGACATAACGATAAACAATTAAAGGCTATTATAACTAGTTATTAGATAGAACAACAGTTCATGAAAAACAGAACCAGATTGATACAATTAATGATGAACTATTGACAATGGGTCAGTCTCCATGTCGGGTGTACCAACTCTCACTATGAAGGTCTGTTCCAAGGCCTCGAGTCCCCGGTTATCCGAACAGAATTTAGTGAAATAGTTAAATGAAAGTTTGTCAGTTTAATAAAACATCCTAGCAATAAAAACAAACGCATATATTGTAATTAGACACTCATTAAAACATCAATTGTTATTTCAAAAACAAACAAACACACGAATTGGAAGCTTAAAAGGGGATGGGATTTCTACAAGCGTATTGCGTTGAAGAGAACAAACTTATTTGATATTAAGTATGATTTGTAATGAATTTCTTATATTTCCACGTATTTCTGAAATGACCGGATTGACACTGATACCCCAATACAAAGGAATAAGGTCACACAAACAAGTGCTTGTCTCTCGTTACTTAATTTCCAAAGTAACAAATACACTCCTTTGTGTCCTTCGTGTAAGCTCTATGTATCCTTTGTGTAAGGCATATACATCATTTGTGTAAACTCTATACATCCTTTGTGTAAGCTCTATACATACTTTGTGAGAGCTCTATATATCATTTGTGTGAGCTCTATATATCCTTCGTGTAAGCTCTATATAACCTTTGTGCAAGCTCTATATATCCTTTGTGTAAGCTCTATACATTCTTGTGTAAGCTCTATACATCCTTTGTGTAAGTTCTATATATCCTTTGTATAAGCTCTTTATATTCTTTGTGTAAGCTCTATATATCCTTTGTGTAAGCTCTATACATCCTTTGTGTAAGCTCTATATATCCTTTGTGTAAGCTCTACATAACCTTTTTGTAAGCTCTATACATCCTTTGTGTAAGCTCTATATATCCTTTGTGTAAGCTCTATATATCCTTTGTGTAAGCTCTATACATCCTTTGTGTAAGCTCTATATATCCTTTGTGTAAGCTCTATATATCCTTTGTGTAAGCTCTATATATCCTTTGTGTAAGCTCTATACATCCTTTGTGTAAGCTCTGTACATCCTTTTGCATGTACTTTCCGAGTTTTGCTTTTTTATGATTTTATTCCCCAGAGCTGACAAATCTCGACAATGGTTATGTCGGTCATGTTTAATTAACATCTTATTGATGTTGTGACACATTGTGTGGTTTGTATATCGGAGGATACGTAAACAGACTTACAGCATCGAACACCAGGAACTAAAGCCGATTAATGAGAGCGTCCTGACTTTATAATACATGTTTACTTCAAACTGATTAGCACTGTCTCTGATATACAAAACCGCAGACATCTGATAAACAGTTACATAGTATTGCGTACGATCATAACATTCTGATTCATTCATAGAACTTCCCTTCAGAGGTGTCAGAGACATCGTCAGTGGTAAGCACATTTATGGATAAAAGCGTGCTACAAACGGGAATGTCAGTGAGCGCACGTTAAGTAATAAAAGCGTGCTACAAACGGGAATGTCAGTGATGGGCACGTTTAGTGATAAAAGCGTGCTACAGACGGGTACGTCAGTGATGGGCACGTTTAGTGATAAAAGCGTGCTACAGACGGGTACGTCAGTGATGGGCACGTTAAGTAATAAAAGCGTGCTACAAACGGGAATGTCAGTGAGCGCACGTTAAGTAATAAAAGCGTGCTACAGACGGGTACGTCAGTGATGGGCATGTTTAGTGATAAAAGCGTGCTACAGACGGGTACGTCAGTGATGGGCACGTTTAGTGATAAAAGCGTGCTACAGACGAGTAAGTCTGTGATGCACACGCTTAGTGATAAAAGCGCGCTGCGGACGGGTACGTCAGTGATGGGCACGTTTAGTGATAAAAGCGTGCTGCGGACGGGTACGTCAGTGATGGGCACCTTTAGTGTTAAAAGCGTGCTACAGACGGGAATGTCAGTGAGCGCACGTTAAGTAATAAAAGCGTGCTACAAACTTGAATGTCAGTGATGCGCACGTTTAGTGATAAAAGCGTGCTACAGACGGGTACGTCAGTGATGGGCACGTTTAGTGATAAAAGCGTGCTACAGACGGGTACGTCAGTGATGGGCACGTTAAGTAATAAAAGCGTGCTACAAACGGGAATGTCAGTGAGCGCACGTTAAGTAATAAAAGTGTGCTACAGACGGATACGTCAGTGATGGGCATGTTTAGTGATAAAAGCGTGCTACAGACGGGTACGTCAGTGATGGGCACGTTTAGTGATAAAAGCGTGCTACAGACGAGTAAGTCTGTGATGCACACGCTTAGTGATAAAAGCGCGCTGCGGACGGGTACGTCAGTGATGGGCACGTTTAGTGATAAAAGCGTGCTGCGGACGGGTACGTCAGTGATGGGCACGTTAAGTAATAAAAGCGTGCTACAAACGGGAATGTCAGTGAGCGCACGTTAAGTAATAAAAGTGTGCTACAGACGGATACGTCAGTGATGGGCATGTTTAGTGATAAAAGCGTGCTACAGACGGGTACGTCAGTGATGGGCACGTTTAGTGATAAAAGCGTGCTACAGACGAGTAAGTCTGTGATGCACACGCTTAGTGATAAAAGCGCGCTGCGGACGGGTACGTCAGTGATGGGCACGTTTAGTGATAAAAGCGTGCTGCGGACGGGTACGTCAGTGATGGGCACGTTTAGTGTTAAAAGCGTGCTACAGACGAGTACGTCTGTGATGCACACGCTTAGTGATAAAAGCGCGCTGCGGACGGGTACGTCAGTGATGGGCACGTTTAGTGATAAAAGCGTGCTGCGGACGGGTACGTCAGTGATGGGCACGTTTAGTGATAAAGACGTGCTACAGACGGGGACGTCAGTGATGCGCACGCTTAGTGATAAAGACGTGCCTCCACCCCCTTCCCCTACCCTCTGTTTTCTACTCCCTAATCCTTACCCTCTATCCTCTACCATACCCCTATTCCTACCCTCTGTTTTCTACACCCTAATCCTTACCCTCTACCCTCTACCATACCCCTATTTCTACCCTCTGTTTTCTACTCCCTACCCTCTACCCCCTACCCTATATCCCTTTCCCTCTTCCAAAATTATAAGCAGCTTTAATTCCCTCAGTGCACTGACTGGATTCCAGACTTTGTTACGATCTCTGACAGGGCTTTATTCACAGGCTTGCGGGGACGACCACCTATCTTATTTTGACTGACATGGTGAGCATCAAAGTACCAGGTAGATAGCGAATGATAATGAATGGAGGGGCCACAGGCAGAATCTGAACTAAAATGAAGAACTGGATTATGTCTGCTAAGTCCTTTACATTCCGAATCTGAAGAAAACCATTGTTTAACGACATGTGACATTCTTTATGATCGAACGGGACACTTCCTCTAGACTACACAGCGCACAACAGACCCGAAAACGTTGCTCACTCTCCGTCCTTGTTGAACGGAATGTAGCCATCTGGACCCGCCTCTATCCAGGGTTATTACTGTTTCTGAAGGTCACGTTATAGTAAATCTTTGACGTCATAATGTAATAACAAGTATCACGAGGTTGGCAGTATAGCGACCTCCTGCTTGTTTTGTTCTATAAAGAGTTCATTTGATTCCTCTTGTATTGGCCCTGCTGGATTACCTTTCTGTATACCATGTACTAGCTGGACATTTATAGATACTAGTCAGACATATTCACTAGACAGTGTTTCATTTTTTATCTGATGATAAAACGATCTTTGGCGATTCGCTTCCGCCTCATACGCGTTTGGCGGAAGTCTTTTCTCCTTCCTTCATCTTACCAAATGCTAGCTTAAAAACAGAAGAAAACTATCTGATGAGTTCCATCAAACTGGTTCGGAAGGAAAACTCGCATACAGAACAGACGCGTGTGATCCACACGCTGGAAAAAGACTGCGTTACTACCTAACAAGAGGCCAAATAGGCCTGCATCGCTCACCTACTATTCATTTTCACAAATACATTATTACTTCTCATCATAGACAATCCTCCCAGTGACCTATCAACCCAGTATCAAGCTCCTAGGCATTTTGACTGATCAAAAGTCGTTTGAAGGTTTAAACAAAGGTGGTACTTGTTTCTTTGAATATGAATCAAGGTCACCCGTTTTTGCTAAATTTGTTGGACTTCACTCCAGAAATCTGCCCAGTCAAGAGTATATGTGTTTGATTAATCAGAATTAAAAGTTTTAACTTAACCAGTGCCATTCATTGAATATAAGGCCATTCACAAACTTTGTCGGACTTTACCACAGGATCTACCTGCCCAATATCATTGTCCTAGGCTCATTTTATTTTCAAGAAGTCATCTGAAAGTTGTTTTTTTTAAATACCCTTTGTGATCTTGAACACAGATCGACATAATTTATTTTTGAATTTTGTAGAGTTGCATCCCATGAACTTACCGGTCAAATTGACCCCTGTGACTGACCTTGACCCCTGTGACCGACCTTGAATATGGATCAAGTTCATTTTCTCGAAAACTTCTTTCAATTTTATCCTACCAGCAATTTATCGTGGTTGTA